TGTGAAACAAGAAAATGGAATGATTTTCCCCCCTTTCACCCATGTTCACACACCATCCAATTAGTCCTCAAATCACAAAGGAGAGAGAAACAGAAAGGCAGAGATGTTGGTGGTACAAATGGACAAAGATGTTGTTAGTGTGAGAGGAAAAGAAAGAAGATGGAGGAGGAAACAGACACAAGCAAAGGGAAACATGGTGCCTTTGAATTATGGCGGCTACAGTTATTTTTAGTATTCATTTATCTGCCAGCTTTATTCTGGACTAATCAAGTAAACACTTGGTTTTTAAAAAAGTTTGAAAATGATTTTGTTTGTTGTTGATGTTTTAAAATGCCTTATGTTTAACAAAGTCCAACTCCCAGAAAACATCTAATTTGATTTCTTTTTTTTATTTCTGATGGGTAACCAGTGGGTTAGACTCTCATCTATCATTCTTAAAGGTCACATATTATTCTCCTTTTCAACCAGTTTAAATAAGTTTCAGAACTCCCCAAAACATGTCTGTGAAGTTTATTGTTATAGATCCACTCTGATCCTGTATTTTATCATCCTATAAACCCCTTGATTTCAGCCCTGCTCAGAGCAGGCTGTTTCTGTGTCTGTAGCTTTAAATGTAAATGAGCTGTCTCTGACCACGCCCCTCTCTGGAAGGGATTGGGTGGCTCGGGCTTCCTTGCACTATTCCCATTTTTTTTTACGGTGATAAGGTGGACTCAGAGGGCAGAACAAACACCTACCTGTGGGAGTGTCAACCACAGGAGGGAGGGGTTACTGCCCTTTGTGATGTCATAAAGGGAAAATCTCCTACCGGCTTGTTTGCACACACATTTTCTGAAAAGAGGAGCAGCAAAAGATGGAGAGGATGGACTTTTCTCATAATTGGCGGTTTGTAAACAGACTAAGGATACATATTGGTGTTAAAAAAATATGGTAAAGTGTAGGGTATTTTTCATAATATGTTACCTTTAAGAAATGTAATATTGGTCAGGCCACAATGTAAACAGATAGTTTATTTTATTGTCTGTTGGATTTCAGATCATCATGCTAAATTTAAACTGTAAATCAGCATCAGATTTTCCAGTAAGTCCATTCATTCATCCGTATGCACAATGAGGTGATTAAAGTTCACTGTACATATGTTACATTTCAAGTCTTTGACATTACTAAAAATGACTTTTGGAAAGGAAATTTGAAAAAAATGTATTCAGCTACAATAAATGACAGTGTTGGAGAAAGTTGGTTTCTGCACCATTCTGTCACTTTGGGGATGCACTCTGCAGCCACAGCCAACTCCTGACTGAAGGTTACAGTCAGTGAGCAGTGATTGTTTTTTCAGCATTGCCCCTTTTGCAGCTGTGAGGTGCAGACAACAACACTGCACTTCAGCACTCCTGGAGCATCTTCTAAATCCAAGATTGAATGTGTCTCTACCTTACTGAGGTGACAGAATAACACTCACAGCATGGAGTCGCTGCTCTCCTGACGGTCTGAGCAAAAGTGAAAAATTGCCTAAAGTTTCTCAGGTTAAGTGTTGAGCTGTCCATCACACGCAACACAAATCTCTGTGTCCAGCTGCAGGATTAGGTCTCAATTTTTTGAGTGAGGTTTAAAAAGAACAAATCCCTGACACTAACATGCCACTAAAAGCAATGATGCACTTCAATGTCAAACAAAATGACTGAGTTTGCATATGCAGGAGATTTGAATTTCCCCCGGGATCAATAAAGTATCCAGCTATCTATCTTTTTATATTGCAAAAGACTGAAGGTCAAGGGAAGAGAGTAAGACAAGAATTGATCTTGGTTTATACTAAAATGGAAATTTGAACCCATCTGTCACTCACTACTTTGCCACATTCTTACCCTCTGTGACTGTTGACAGTCCAGTGAACCTGCAGAACTCTTTAAAATGTCACCGCAGCAGTGAGCTGCCCCTGATGGCAAAGGAGACCTCCTGTGATCTCCACCCTTTTCTTTGAGACAAGTGACAAATGACCATGAAGATACATACCAAAGTACTTAGCACTACAATTTATCAAAATGAATGATAATATTATAAAGGTACTGTAAGTATCAAACCTCAAGCTCCTTTTTTTCTGTTCCGATCATCCTTCCTTTTACAGATCATGCTGTTATGTTAACCAGTTTTAGAAACGTACCCATAGATAACCAACATTTAGAGCTGACAGCCAGACACAAACACAAACACATAGCTCTCTCAGAGACAGCGAGAGTCTGCTATCTCTCTGTGCATTATTGAAGCTAATTGCCCCTGATTAAAAAGCCTTGATTAAGGTGCAGCTTGTGATCTAAGAAGGAAGCCAGCAGAGATGATCCCTGCCTCACTATTCCTCTGTTCTAATTGTTCATTTTAGTATTCATTTCATTCACTAATTGTTCCCGTCAAAAGACCTTATGCATATATGCATTTGTGCAAAATACCTTACTCTGCACATTGTAGCCCAGTAACCTAAAATGAATTTGGTGATTGTTTTTTTGTTTTTTTTGCTGCACAGAAGTTGACAATTTGTAATTCAATTAAAAATTTACAAAACGAACTCGCCACAGTTAACATTAATCTGTCCTTTTGATATTCCTAATAAGCTCTTTTAAATTGTCATCCTCGCTCAAACGTCAGTACATGAGTCAATAGAATCAAACGTGAGCTGACAGAGTGTGTGTGTGTGTATGTGTGTGTGTGTGTGTGTGTGTGTGTGTGTGTGTGTGTGTGTGTGTGTGTGTGTGTGTGTGTGTGTGTGTTTTTACAGCAGCACATGTTTCTGTACTGGCCACACACTGAAGTTAATAAATGAACAACTCTGCTTCCACATTATAGAAGCTGCCCCTCGACAGTGACACATTGTTTTAATTTACAAAACTGTGACAAGATTTGAAAAATGCTTTTCATTTCTGCCCGTAATATCACTGCTGTAGTTCTTTGGTTCTTCATCTGAACTTCAAATAGGACTCAGCCAGAAGCACATCGGAGGACACAACTTTCCATTTCCTCATACACTCCATGAAGTATTCAACTCGGCTCATCGTGGAGTGGCTCGTTGCAGATCAGCTATAAATAGATTCCCAATGTGTGAGAGGTTCGCAGGGTGCTGATCATTTTTATTTCATGAGGAACGCACTGCTGGCCATTATGACTAACCGTTTTCTACTTTCAGAAAAGCGAGGCCCTGGAAATATTAATACTCATGAAATAGTAAGTACCAGTGTTTGTATTGGGGGGGGGATGCTTTTTCAACAGATGTATGAAGGTGAAATCTTTATCACTTACAGCTTAATTACCATCCGACTGCAGCACGTTGAAGGTTTGAACATTATCAATGATGTTGTCTTTGATAAAGACAGGATTTAGACGGATGTGTTTATCAATGAGGGAAAGTATGAGCTCTTCTGCTGACCAAAAATGGAGTGACAGCGCCCCCTGGCTCTAACCATGAAAATGTCACATTTCTTAATCCCCTAATGTTTATAGTGACGTATGCTGCTGCCCTCATGGCCAGGTCACCTTTGTGAAAGAGAGCTTGATCTCAAAGGGTTTATTACCTTGTTAAATAAAGGTTCAAAATAACTATAATATTTCCTTGCGACAGTCTTTCTAAATGTTAGTGCTGACAGTTATTTTGTATCAAGTCTGTACAAGAGAGCAAGACAATTGGTTAATGTGTAATTAAGCAAATCTTGTACCTGAAACTACATCACTAGATGTTTTGTCTTCCTCTGACACATCGTCACCATTTAAAAAGCGTATGATAATGTGTTCCTTCATTTTCATTTCTTTTCAGATCCTTGCTTCATCTCCGGGGGAAAGAGGCCAGGATCCCAGTGAGTAAAAGATTCAATTAAAAAACCTTCACCGTTCTCCTCATTCAGCCCAAGAGCGAATAATCCTAATTCAGAACAATTGCTCCTTGGGAGGCTTTGATAGCGTCTGTTCAAGGCGGTTTTTGATGCTGCGGACAGCAGAGAAACAGAAGCGTACTTTTAACTGTGTTGTTGTCTAGAGACTTCAGGCTTTACCAGTTGGACGTTTTAGATCAGTGGACATCGAGAGCTCTTGAAAGCTTGAGAGTAAAATGTGCCTGGTTCAGCACGTCGTTCATGGACATGCACTCGTTCACAGGAGGAAGATGAGAAGTGTTCAAAGCAAAGGAGCTTAGTGTTCCAACACAAAGCCGAGCACCCCCACAGGTTGTAATTACAGTTTATGCAACAACAAAAAAAAAAACAATTGGAAAAGAAGCAAGTTTAAAAAATTATTTATAATATGATACAAGGATATTTTGTGCAAGAGGTTGTTGGGGCTGTGAAACCTGTACATTATGAACAAAGCATTACAAATTCAGTGGCAACCTGAAAGCAGAACATGGCTACTGGGCCACGATTGTGTCCAACAGATAACTATCAAGCTACTAGCAGTATTATACAAATGGTTTCCACCAGTATACAATGGCTGTATAGGATTAGATTACATATTTATATAAAGTGCATAAGAAACAAACACTTACAGTGAAGGCCTGAAGTGATTTGTGACTGAGTGTAAACCCACCACCACATGCTTGAGCCCTATCATCATATGGCCTGGTGGTTGGGGGACATTGCTGTAAAGACTTGGCAGGATCTTAAACCTTTAGCCATAGTTCATCTGCAGAATATATACTGTATTAAAAATGTATGAAAAGGGTACCAATCTGTGCAATATATTGAATGTTACAAATAGACTATATATAAGCTGATGTGATAAGGTTCTTAAATTCCCCTTTGTACAATTATAAATACACACTCGCTGTTAACTGCTCCATCTGCACTAGAGCATAGCACCACAGGCTCTCATTCTCCAGCCATGAATAGGAAATCACCTGAAATAACTGACAAGGTTCTTTCTTATTTCAGGGGAATAAGACATCTTTGACATAAAAGCTATAAGAAAATATATGCATTGTTAGTGACTAGATTACATGGTTTGTTTATAGGTCATAAATCTGTTTGTTTTCCCTCTAATATTGTTTCAAGGTTACAAAAAAAAAAAAAAAAAAAGCGAGTGAATTCAGCATCACAGTCGAGTCTTGAAAATACAGAAGAGCAAAGAGGCATCAAGCGGTCCATCAGACTCTGTCCGGCACCTCGCCATGCCAAAACACCAACAGCTGGGGGTGAGGGGGATTATCTAGGTCTGCTGTGAACCCTGTTAAAAGACAACACAAGCTGTTGGGATACAAGTTTGAAACTGAAGACTGGGTGGACACACTGTGTGTTCCATATGTACGTATAATGGATGCGAGGTACGTACTGAGTTGGTTCTTTTACGTTTCCAGCAGTCCGGGTTGAGTCTCTTCTGCTCCTCAGCCAGAGCCTTGGCCTCCATGGTGTACATCCTCCTCTCCTCACTCTTCATCTTCTTCCACTTGTCACCAAGGATGACGCTGATGGCTCTGCAGTGTAAAGATACAGACAGAAGATCAAGGACCTGACTTGTTCAGCATTAATGTCTTTATTATGTCGGCCTAGCTGTTTGTTTGTTTCTACTACTTCCTTTCCTTGCCACAGAAAACGAAATGCCTATATTTTAAATTATTGTTAATTAAATGTTGCCATAAAGGCAGGGCTGCAACCTTGGAGGAAAAGATGGGACCTGTGGTTTTAAATAAAGAATTAAGGTCAGTACTAATAAATTGAAGTGTAATGGTCCAAGATAATACAACTGCACTGACTGTTCTTTATACAGCAGAGCTTGATAAAACATCTACACTACATTTACTCACATGGTACGCCAACTGAAAGGAAAATAGGACAATAAAAACCACTATCTTGTTTGTCTACTATCGATAAGTAGGTCAAAATCTGCCTTGGAGATCTATTACAATTCAACTTTTAACAATGGGTCTTACAGGTGGAATAATCATTACTCATTTTATTGTGTTACCATGTGTTCACAGCTGATCCAGATATTAGAACTGGTATTATTTACCAGTATATAACCTATGTAAACATCATTCTTTTGACTGATTTAGTTTTGGATGACCGGGTAACTTTCTCCTTACTTTTAGGGGCTCAGAGGTTCATGAGGCATTCTTTCTGTGTTGACTTAATATGTTCAGGTATAATGTCATGTTTTTAATCTGTAAATTTATGTACCAACATGATATGAGTAAGAAAGATCACTGTGCTGTAGAGATTCTGTAAAGAACACTTCCCACTCTCTCTTCTTCACTTCAAATAAAGCTAAGCTCATGGACTAAGTCAGGCCAATGTTTCTGGTTTATTGTGATCCCACCGGTCCAAAGTTGCCTTTGGTCAAACAAAAAGAACAAAGAACAAAGAACTATGCTGAGTGTTTGGAATGACTCATCTAGAGTACAAACTGTAACATCCTTCTCACTGTATATGATCTCTGAGCTCAATATAACAACTACCCACACTCTTTCAGGGAGGAGTGTGGTGTCATTTGATTGAACAAAGTGGTTAAAAAATGTATTCATAAAAAAAGAAATTCCAAACATGCTAGTTTGAATGAGAGAACCGGATCTCACAGACTTTTTCATACCTGTTGTCCTTCCCAGGATACATCTGTGTGTACTCCACTCTGTACTTCTTGGCAAAGAGCATAAAGGCATTCATTGGCCGCTTGCATTTTGTGGGTGTGGCAGCAATGGCTGTCCCTGAGGTGTTGCTCCTGTGTGATTTGTTTGTGGAGGATTGTGGAGAGCAGGAGCGCTCGAGTTTATCACAGTCCGGACTGACAGCCCCCCCACTAGAAAGGGACGTCCTGCGCTGACGAGCCATGCTGCTGAGAACATACACGGCTGAGGAATCTAGTGGGGTGAAGTCGTAACTACAGGAGAAACAAAGGAAGAGACGACGTCAATGGTAAGATCAACTTTTCTGTTTCATGTTTACATGGTGTGTGTGTGTGCTATGGTTGGTATATTGGTCACACTTGCTTTTAAATCAAGAAATAGGTATTCTTATATACCAAATTTCACTGTGTAGGACCACCAGAAGTCCAAAATTGACTCTCTCAAAGCTTCTCTTTTCTCAGATTTGGCTGCTTCTCATCCTGAGGGAAATATCTGGTATTCTTTGCTAAGCAGGTAGTGTACAGAGGGTTTAGTGATTTGTTTGTTCCTATCTAAGAATAGCTAGCTGCTGTAGCTGAAAAAACTCTATGAAAGTGGTGATAGTAAAACACATCAGATTAGTTTTGGGTCAGACGGCTAAACAGAGAGCTTGTATTTGAAAGCTGCAGATTCAGTTGCTAATTCTATTCATGTTCATCATACACGATCACTTACATATTGACACCTCATCAAGTTATCATTTGATCCGTATTTCAAAAGTACCTTATTACCTAAAGCAATATCCAACAAATGTGTACCTTCTGAAGGTGTCAAAGACAACAGAGTCATCGCAGTTAATGGCATCTGGGTGGTTTGGTGGCAGACACACATCGCCCAATTGCATCTCATAGCACGGGATCCCATGATGCACCACAGTAAGGCTCGGATAAAAGGAAGACCACCCTGAGAAACACAGATGGTGAGTTACAGATTATTATGATCATAAAGCTGTCTATTAAAATAAACTAAAAAACATTGTTTAACTTCTGTTGGCAAAGGCTAATGTCACATATTGCCTTTAAATCTGTTTTTTTTTTTTTTGCGTCTCTTAAAGGAAGCTGATATTCATCTTTTTGTGACAGAACAAAACATATGGTAAATATTACCTTTATTTTTTACAAAAAACGGGTGATCCAGTCGGCATTCGGCTGATAAAAGGCCTTCATCAGGTGAGCCTGGGTCAAAGGTCAGTTTAAGAACTACCTGGCCAAAAGATACAGTCTCCTCATGGTTCACCAACTTCAGCCCCTCTGAGCCGTATCTCTGTAAGGGAAGCAAGAGACAATTACAGGAGTATTCAGGAAAATTCACTGCGAGCATGCGGGAGGGAGTGGTGACGTTCACACCAAAGACTGTATGAATGAGACTGGTGCAATCTCCATACACGTAACAAAAGTGCCTCATTATGTTTCTGTTGGCCAGTATGTTCTTCTCAGCTCTTTGGATGATATTGTGAAATGTGTCGAAATAAACATAGCTTTGAGAATAAGTCAAAAAAAAATCTGATGATAGCCTCAGACTTTCTTGCCTTCCATCTTGTTCTTTGTGGGTAATGTCTTGCCTCATGACACAACCCTCCCTCTTGCCCAACAGGGATATTCACCGGCTGTGAGGTGCATGTGTGAACAAGCAACTCAGAAAGATTGGAGGGGCAGTCTGCCTGAAATTTTTGAACTTTTCAGGAGTGCATATGTGAAAATGGCTATTGACAGGTTTCTGTACTCAACGGTGGGAAGAAAAATAGAAAAAAGAGCAATGATGTAAAAACAACTTGGTCTCTCCTTGTCTGAACAATGATGATATCTGCGATGCTAAATGAGACCACCTCTTCAAAGTTTAAAGGATGCAAGGTTTGCAAATCCGGTCATGAACCCAGGTCATGCACTCATATATATATATATATATATATCATCTTAGCAGCAACACTAAACACAAGTTGTATTCACCTGGTGAGCATTTCAAAGTATAACTATTACAAATAGGATATAAAAAAACATTCTAAGCTCAGTATATGTAGCATACCTTCAGAGAGGAGGAGGACGGCATCATGGTTTCATCATCTGAGTCTTCATCAGAGTCTCTGAGTTCATCTGCATCTTGCCACTCCACGTTAGGACCTCTGTGGAAGCGCAGGCGGGTTCCTGAATATAAACACAACAGTGAGACACAACGGATGAATTAGCAGTTGGTATGAATTCAAAAATAAAACGGCTGCAGTTCAGCTGTTTAGACACATGAGGTCAGAATTTCTACAAATGTGAATTATGCTCATCGTGGCAAAGGGAGATTTTTCTTGTCCTGATGAGACCGCTACACTGCTATGATCAATGACACATTCTCATATTGTGCAGAGGGAGGTGTTGCTCTTTAGTGGAGGCTGTTTTATGGAAGGGAGCTCAAAACTAGTTTGTTTGCATCTCTACATTGTCACAGGAGACCCTGGTATTAGACCTGGTACTAGTGAGGCTCTGAATGCTTGTCAGCTCAGCTCAATTTGAGTGATATATAAATATTTATTTACAGTTTATAAAGTAAAATAAATATTTCTAATTTTAACATAACTGGTTTAAATAACTTTTTTTTTTTTAAATGTTTTTTAGAAAAAATATGGGGAGTTTAGATTGACACAAACTGCTTAATAGGAGATCTTGATTTTTCAATCCATGGGATGAAAATCTCAAGACCATTTTCTTATTTCAAGAAGTTCAAGAAGCTAAAAAGCTTTAGGGTTAGCTGTCGTGTGTGCGTTCACTGGTGGTTTTAAACATTATGTAGGCACCTTTGAGGAAGCCATGCCAGGCTGTGGATGGCCAAGAGTGAGACCAGGCCATATCTTCATCATCAGAAAAAGATGAGGACATCGAGAAAACTCCAGACTCTGATTCACTGCTGGCCTGCATTCATAATAAGAAAAGAAATTAAAATCACTTAACACACTACTATTCATACAGAAATTACAGGTGAATAATGAAGGATTGTTAGGTTTTCAGAGACAGATATTGTAAGAGAAAGGGTTACCCTGACACGCCTGCGCTCCCTGAGGTAGCCCCGGGACGGGTTGGGTGCGCTACTGGCTAATGGAGGCCGAGCGTAGGAATGTAAACTGTTACTGTTGCCAAAGATGTGGACTGGAGAAGATCTGGAAAAAAAATTATATTCTAATGAACATGTGTCACAATAACACATTCAATTATATTAGCCCATATATTATAACTCAAAGACAGCTGATGTTATCAGTGTGTTCAGAACGAGCAGGGTGTTAAGTGGGGGATGTAGGGATGTATTTTTTTACACGTGTCAAATGTATATGCATACTTAATACTAAGACGACTTTCATTCTGGCTTATTTTGGGACAAACCTTTTGTGTGGGGCGTTCTTCAGCAGAGGGCTCTGAGGACTGGTGGCAATGTTGGCCAGCTCAGTGAGCCAGTTGGTGCGGGGGGAGCAGCTGAGCTCCTGGTGAGACACCCCGGCTGCAACCTGAAATAACCCTGGAGACCTCTGGTCTTCTTCCACCTCCTGCAACTCTGGCAGGTCATCTTGGGAGAGGTAGAGAATGATTTTCATAAACATATATAATGGTAAATCTTTATTTGCTTTCATGTAGAATGTGCTTTCTTGAAGATTTAGGATTTTACCATAATCCATGTTGCACCCAGGGGATGAAGGCAGGTCCTCATTACACTTAAGTGGATCAAAGGATTCATCCATTCTGACAATGTTTTGCTGTTTCTTCTTTTCTTTTTTTTTTTGACTGACTGCAGGTCAACTCACTCAGATTCCATCTTCTTATCCTGCATCACCATCTGGTTTGTGCCAAAAAATGCGATATTAAGAGATTTCACAAACAAAAAGGAATTGTTGCATAATTATTTCTACAAATTATCTATCAGTTTCACACAATAACTACTCATTCTTCATGGAAATTGACTCTTGTTTACTCTAAATTTAAAACTGGGTGGCCGAGGATGCAGTTTTGTTTCATTAAGACAATGAATGATCCATGCAGTTAAATACATTAACATAATACACAGTCTGATTTCATGACAGTAAATCAACACTTCCCCAAGAGGTAAGATGTCATTGACGTGACATTCCATGTTAAGCATAAATATAAAGGAAAAAGGATGCAGTCTGTCGGGAATCCTTTGTCTCTGAGTCGACACAGTACACCCCTGAGACAAGTCATGTGACCAGCTGCGTGGAGGCCTTGTTTATAAACTTAAAAGGATTTGGCGCATGCGTACCAGTGCTCATTCATTCACAACTGCGTAGCAAAAGTGTCAAATAAAAGAAATTTGTAAAGAAAAGTGACGTATGACGGTTCGTACAATGAACTGAAGAAAAAAAAAGGATGAAAGATGTGGACAGGGTGAAATGTGTTTGGCTCGTTTGAAAGTAACCTAGTGACACGCAAAGTAAAAAAAAAAAAAAAAAAATGTAGAACCTGCATAACAATGCTCTAAAAATCGTATGAATTAAATACACAACAAAGAAGGAATAAAGGTAGGCTAAGTGTTCTGACAGTGTTCCTCAAGTTCAACAACACGACCCGCTGCTTTCACTCCGCAAACACGGAAATTAACAAACTGTTAATATAAAAGCAAAAGTAAAAAAAAAAAAAAAAAAAAAAAAAGACAACTCGGACAGCAGGCCTGCTATTCTCCCACTACTCAAAAGCAGCAGCAGCAGTGTCTTCAGTTCAACCCAGTGGCTGTCGAGTCTAACACTGTAAACAAAAGAATGTCAACAAGTTGAGGCATGACGCAACCCTCTCTGCTCCGTTTAAAATGAATGACACGAAAACAACCAGAACACACTAGACGATATCTTTACGCTAAAAAGGTGCAGATTTTACCACATGAATGACTAGTTTTGATACGAGGGAAAACTCAAGTTGGATGGATTGGATATCATCAAAACAACAAGCCTCGCAGGGGAAAAAAAAAAAAGCACTGTCGAGCAAAATGTCGTTTGACGTCGATTTAACGGATGACAACCCCGTTAAAACAACAGGTTTGACGCGCGAAGTCGCGGCACACAAAATGCTCAAATTTAAATCTAGTTGTAAGTAATTATTAATTCGAAAAAAAGTAGTTCACTTCCCACTTACCAAACCCTGTCGCCATCAAGAAACTCTCTGGCATTCACTCGAGGGGTGGGAATGAATCGTTCGCGAGAAAGCCTCCCATTGGCTGGAAATAACGTCAGAAACAAGAATCCTGGCATCGCATTGGTTCATACTGCTGAGAAAAACAACGAAGGCGGGGCATGTTTTGTTGATTATCGTATCATTGGATGAAAGTACATGCCTGTTACTACCCAGTAACAGCTGATTGGCAATAACAGGAACAATACATGGGTATTTTTCAATCTAGAGAACAATTTACCCATATTACTTTCGAGATGATTTCCCTCCCCCTTGTTATTTGATCTTTGCTTTCACTTCAAATTAAAACGTAATTAGCAATTGCATGACAATACACAAGAAAAGAATGAATGAGTGAGTAAATGTTGAATGGAAATCTCTTAAAGTTTGCCAACCCTGTGTTAAGTAATAATAATGTAACACGAAAATACAAAAAGGCTCTTTATTGACATGAAAAATGAAACATACAGTTCTTCCAGCTAGCTTTATGTGTTGCCTTCAAAAGTTACCAGTCATATTTGCAGGAAGGGGTGGAGGGGGGGGGGTAAATTCAGAATATCAATTTTCAAACAACAGCTCTATCCAGCTTACAGAAATACAGAATACTTCATTATTAATTTTAAACAGAGAGAGAAGAAGGGAGCAGAGAAGGCCCACTTTTGACCACTGTTGCGAGGGAACAACAGAATACGTGTTTCCAAACAGTAAATGTTGTTGGCAGAGGTAGGCAGCAATAATGGATGTCATAATCATCATTTATGTTTCACTGACACAAAAACAGAATGACTGAAATTTTACATTCAAACACAGGGAAAGCAAATGTCTCAAGACATTGCCAATAAAGACAACAGTCTATGGGGCAACTTATGGAATTATAAGTGGGCCTATATAATAACAGTTAATACTCATATTGTACAGCAATATGTTGTATAGTCTTACAAAACTATCAGCTATCTTTCTGAAGTCTGTTCTGAGTTTTTTCTTCTTTATTTTTCTTCTTTTTTTTCTTTTTTGCAAAGGCATAGTATACGGCTAACAGCCACAAACACTGACCAACAATGATATACAGTGTATGAACATGTGTCCATCAGTTCAAATCTTATGACAGACAAAAAAGTATTCAGCAAAAATGCTCGAGTACTGCCAAGTCTACATTCCGATGAGATCAAAATGTAAAAGATGTTTTTTTCAAAAACAGAATCCAGAGGCCTTTCTTTGCAAATTGTCTACACTTTCTCACATTGGGGCTTTGTATGAATGTGCCAGTGCACCTTATTCTGCAGGAGTTGGTGATCATGCCAGAGAAGAGAAGGTGAAGAGAAGGTGACATCTTTGCTCACAACTATCCTGTAGGAAATTAGCTTTGGCATCTGATTTTGGCAGACAATGTTTAGAAATGTACAAATGATATAATACTGTAGGTATAACTATAACACAGCAGAGAAAAACGTGAGAGTAAAAAAGTGTTCAACTGACAAATATTATATATGACGATGAAGAGTGAATGTACAGTTACATTTTTAAGGTTTTAGTTGTGATAACTCCAATTTAAACAAGCTTTAAGCAACTCTTGGCTTCCTCACTCGGTGGCAAACTCTCCTATAATAAACCTTTGTCTCATAATGGTGGATCGGACTTATTTATCTGACACACAAATGTTGTGGTGAATATTCACATTTCTTGTAAGAAAATGATATTGATAAAATTTGTTTTCATCCATTCAATTCATGGTCCATTGGAGTCTTCTCATGCACTTTGTTGCTCGATCTCAGTGCTACTTCCAAACAAGGTGACCAGCTGCTCCTCATAGTTAGCTATGTTTCTCTTCATGATGTCCATGCAGGGGCCCAGCAACCTCTCGAAGGCTTTAACGTCCAAGACTGACATGAGAACAAAAAGAGTCAGACAGACTAAAGAAGACTTTAAGAGATTTATATGAAAATAACAGGTTTTTAGAGCAAATATATGAAAGATGAATAATTTCACAAAATGTACCGAGGCATTTAACGCTCCCCACAGCATAGGCAGATGCAGCTCTTGGTTTGTTCGTGACGAGCGCCAACTCTCCAAAATACTGGCCCCTAGAGCATGTGGCGATGTCCACCTCCTCCTCCTCCTCCTGGTCTTTTTTCGTCTGGTAAAAAAAACAAACACTTTAAGACATACAAGATGCTAGAGTAACACATTATAAACAACAAGTTGGAAGTTGTTTTTTTTAACACATGAAAATGAACATACCCTGCTTCTTCTCATGGTGATTCTAACCTGGCCGGACTCGACAATGTAGAAGCAATCTGCTAAATCACCCTGTAATATAAAGCAATCATTTAATGTGAGTGTTTGAAATGGCCTCACTGTTGTTGAAAATCAAAGAGACCAATTCAAAAAGAGGTCAAATAAAAAAAGATGAATCACCTGAGCAATGATTTGCTGTGCATCACAATACGCCTTGGTAGATAATACGTCTACTACCTTCATTCTCTCTGAGAGCTGTGAATGAAAGGACATTTGGTTTACAACGTTTTATTGTAAATTTTACAATATAGACTTTAGACTTTAGACTTTTAGACTTTATAGGGCTGGAGGACAAATCTAATATTCACCTCTAATGACATAAGCAGTGGTAGTGTTTCAATGAACGCCTCATACAGCCTCCTCTTCTTGGCATTGTTCTTCACAATGATCCTCCTGAATGTCAGACGATCCTGTAACACAAAGTTAAAGAGTCTGTTTAGAGGCCTCTCCAGAGTGGCTTACACTTCTTGCTCCGTCCACTCGTAAGTTTAGAACTGAAGAAGCCTTTCAGAGGAGAGGTGAAACATCTGCAAGATCTTCAACCAAGTCCAGTTGCCTTTGGATCAAGCTTCGAATGTACCATCACCTGGATGACTGAGAACCTACACAGACATAGAAGTCTATCTGTTCACTTATTTATTTTTGGGTTGATATGGGCCAATCAAAGATATGTCAGTATGCATGTTTGTGCTAGCACATTTTGTCAATGCAAACAGGTTTTTTTTTTCTTCAGAAAATGCAATACAGAAATCAATGTTACAGTTGATTTAGAAATGTTGACATTTTTCATACAAATCTTCCAAAGTTCTTCTTGGGCCCATTCACCATATAACTAATCTAGTGTAAAACCACATTAAGTAGCAGGGTTCAATGCAGCGTCTTAACTTAGCCGACAGGGTTCTTCAAAATGTAACATTTACAAATACTGCTGCTTAAATCTTTAGAAGTCTCTCAGCTGATTGACATTTCAGCAGAATGATATACATTTAAGACTCAGATAATAACCCGCAACATATTAGATGACAACATGTAGCGGTATATGCATAGTTACTGTAATGTAAACAGAAGCTGGAACCGTCCAGCTGAAAAAAAAACATGTTTTACTACCAAAGAAGTAACAAGCAATCATTTAAAAAGCAAGCACATCTTTGGCCTTGTTATGAAGTAGTTAGTACAGCCTTTGTCCTAAACCTGCCTCCAATTAAAGCTCACACTACAGACTAGAGTTTGCCCAGAGGCCCTTAAACAGGAGTCTGTTGGTTAGACAAGACAGGCTGCTTGTTCACAAACTCAAACACACACTACAAGTTCCCAGGTCAACAGGGGATACAGCCGAAACCTGCCCGGTCTGCACACAGATGACATAACAAAGCTGTTACCCACAGTTAAGGACACAGTCCTCTCTGGGTTATCAATAACTGCTTCACAGACAGAGGAGCAACTGGAGATTCACTACATCGTTTTTCAGCCATGATTTATGAATTTACTGGATTTTCAAAAAACAAAAAAAGCATTCACGGAAAATTTCAGGAATGCAATTGTTTTCACCTGGACTTGTATGTCAGTAGCAGTCGTCACATTTTGATTATTTATAACATCTAAAGTACTCAGCGTCCTCAGATCATCAGAGGTGCAAGCAAAAACTGACTGTCGGAAATGATCTGACAGCTGAATGCTGAGTCAGCAACAAAAGATTTTTCAAACAGGCTTGTAAGTTGTCTGTGATATGATGAATGATATATGATTTTACATAATCACACTGCACACTCTTGGATTTAATATGCAGTTTTTTTTGTTGCATTCAACCGGTTTGACAGAATGCTATCACTGTCAGAGGACATTATCTCACCTGTGCCACCAGGTATTAACACTTCTGCAGACACCCTGGATATATTTACAGAAAACCATGACCACTGGCAGCACAGAGTGTTTTAGAAACCTGAGCATGGAGCCAACTGTGCTCCAACATGAGGATTTAATGGTTTACTCACCATGCACCAAAGGGCTCCAGGCGAGGTGGCGATTATCGTGGCAGCCCTGGGGGTGTTGTACATCAGTGCCAGCTCTCCGAAGCTGCCTTTGTTGTCATAGCAACCTACCAGCTTTTCCATGCCATCAACCATTACGAAAATATTAAATGTCCCGCTGAAGGAAAAACCATAGAACATTTTAGTCAGCAGGAAACATTCATTTAAGGGATTCTTTTTTTTTTTTTTATCTGTGTAATAATCTATTTCCTGCACATTCACAAATGAGTTAGAATTCTTAGGAAAGTGACAGAAAAGATCACCTCTCTATAACATAAAAGTTGTCCCCATCGTCATCTTGATCAATGATGTGCTCCCCTTCAGTGCAGAACTTCTCAAACATGGCATCCAGCACCTGAGACATCTGTTCCTGTGGTGTTGTGAAATATTAGTCAAATATTTGAATTGTTAATGTATGAACAACCATGCAGAAATCAGCATGAAGTTCCAACTACTTCAAAGTAACTGTATGAAAAATCATGCAAAGTGCACTGAGCTATGGCAAACAGCTGCTGGCCTAAAACCACGCTCCTTTGAGTGATTCAGAGATGGCCGAGCACAAAGAAGACTAGAAAAGAGCGCTTAAAGAATAATTCACTCACTGGATCCAAATTCTTGAACAGAAGAATGTCCCTACATGCTTCCTGTAGCCTCTGTCTCTGCTCATCGGTTTTTGGGTGGGTGATCTGCGAAATTGAATCACAGCTTTAATATACACAACAGCAGTGTTAATAATGTCGACCTTAGATTCATATTGAGAGCTACAATTCAAACCGTTTAAAACATCAGTTTCAACATTCATATATCATCATTCGTGGTATAAAACACGGTTTACCCATGGCTCTTTTTCCTCCTCATCTTCATCAGGGTTGAACGCTTCAGCGCACACTGCATGATGGAGATCCGAAACTTAATGAACTGGACACTCACAATAGCAAATACATCCAAAAATGATAATGACTTCACAACCATTTTGTAAAGACTGAGCCTTTCAAACCTTTTTTTTTTTTTTAAACGCAAAATAATAATGTTTCATTTTGAAGACAGAGTAGCACACACTCATCCACAACGAAAGCTAAATCCCAGGGACGGCCTGGCAACATTTCATCTAATAAATCTTTCAATAAACAATCTTTTTTTGTCTGTAGTTTTCGGGCTTTAGGGAGCTGCAGCGATGGACACAACACTTTGTCTAAATGTCCTTCCTGTTTCTTCAAGACAAGCTACATAGCCTTGTTATAAAATACTTGTATTAATTTTACTTTTATTTGGATTGGGTTTAGAATTTTACTTTAATTTTACAAAAACACAATGATTGAACTGACAAAAACCGTGTTGATGAAAAATAAAGTGTACACCCTGATATAAATAAGTGATCTAATCTCGATTTAAAGAAAGCACACATTTCTTTTATCTGCTGCCACTGTCCTATTTAGCAGATGTAGGCCTACTTTTCCCATCAGAGGTGATAAAAGGTCTGAAATAGTGTCACTGAATATTTATCCACATTTTCCACTCGGACTGCCAAACATTCAGATATCAGTCCTAAAACAGCTGTTATTCATATGAAGCTACAGTTTGATTTATTAGCCGTACTTGTCTGATCTCTCCACCCACGTCTGTCACTGACATTATTAACCAGGCTCCAGACGAAGTGGTTTTACTCCAAAAAAAAAAAAATCAACACCATTAAAATAAGCTGCAGACAGTGAAGAAAGAAAGATGGAAAGAATCTGACGTAGACTCACAACACTGTCAACACTGAGTTTCACCTTTTGACATGACAGGATTTGAACTCACCTGATGCTCTTCTGATGAATCTGTTTATAACCGGGGCTGCAAAAGAACAAAATACTCGGTGTTAACATGTTAAATTGTCTTCATCGTGAAGGAGATTGGTCTAGGCTACATATTGAATTATAACAGCCTTCTCCATCCACAGAACATGTGTAGCAGCACCATGCCCCTTGCTCATTAAGGATCCATATTCATTTAGCTGAAGCCTGAATAAGGACAGCTGCTTTGAAGTGAGTTAGCCTCTTTGAATTCAATTTAAATGAGAGAAGAAAAAAAAGACAGTGCCAAAGTGCCAAGCTCCAACATAATAGCTGGCTATGAAATAAACATAAGATGGGAGGTCTCATCCATTTAAAAGGCTACCAGCTAGTGTTAGCAGACGACATCCATTGGAAAATACTACAATAGTAAGCGTATAGGCTAGTAGGCTTTCTCCTTTCCTTTCGTAAGCATTGCAGACTTGCACTCATTGGGATGCTGTGTCAGAGCTCTGGTTGCTATGCCTTTTGATGCACATGGTGGCAATACTGCACCGGCCATTGTGTAAATTCTGACCGCCGTTAAGAAAGCACAGTGCAGTAAATGGACTCTCCTCCTTCAACTGGTTTGAGATATTTGTCATGGATAATGAGGTTAGGCCCGTGAGGCCCGTAGCCTACCTGAAACTGAAAATATTCAAATGACCTAGAGCTCCGGGGTCTTTATGAAAAAAAAAAAAAACCACACAGACCCCTTTTTCCCTGCAGCTGCTGTTCTTTAACTCTATCCTCTCCACAGAATGAATGCGCACAGATGAAGGGCTACAGGACGCGTTCGTGGACCATCATTCAGCCACGGTGACCATATTTGGAAAATGACAGATCCATGGTGGATGCAAGGTGGAAGCGCCGGAGCATCACTGCGCCCAATGTGCTCCTTATTCCCATGTAGCGCTCACACAGCGATGCATGCTCATGTATCAAAAATACATCTAGAGATACAGTAAATCTATAAGCCTACCTATGAATTCCTCGTCGTCGTCGTCGTCCTCCTCTCCGTTTTCCGAATCGATCTGCATGGCTTCGTCAATGAAATTGACAGCTTTTCCCAGTCTCGGGGCCGAATTTTGGTCATTGCCAAACGAGGCCTCTTTGGTCTCTTTTTCCTTCAGCTGGGTGAAGTACTGCAAGGCAAACTCGAGCAAATCCCTTGGCTGATTCCTCAACACTTCCACGGTAAAGCTCTGTAACAGCTCCGTCAGTCCTTCAGGAATTTCTATACTCATTCCTGTTATCAGTCTAATGAATGTGGACTAAACCGGTTAGCGACGAGTTTAAAGATGAGACTGAGAAAAAGAAATTCTAGTCGAAATGAACAGACCGGCGTGTGAAACTGGACACGCAGTCAGTGAGCGGGTCCTCTCTTTTTCTTCAATGAAAATGGCTCTGGGTTTTTTGGTCCGAGCATCTTCTTGCTGCTTCTGGCTACAGGAAACCCACGCATGTGACCCAGGAAACCATGGCAACCACCTATCCAGGGATTGCGTATGAGCAGCAGCAACGCAGAATCTGCAGTCACAAAATAAGCGATGGGAGAAGAGAGAAACCCTCCGGTGGTTCAGTCAGACATCGTTCAGAGACATGAGATGAACTATGTGATGTTCATGTTATGTCTGTTGTTCAATAGTAGGCCGAAATGTTAACAATCTTATTCTAGTGTCATGCGCAGTCTATTTTTATAGACGGTTATTTTTTTTATTTTTTTTTAAAGCCCACAAAATTACTTGGAAAAACGTGCATAGGCCATTGGATATAATAATATATAAAAAGAAGAATGTATTAAAATTTTAAGAAAAGTCAAATGATCAAAGTAGATACTGATAAGGATAAACAATATAGGCTGCTTCATTAAAAGGTTAAATGTGATGTCAAACACTATGCAATGTAAAGCTACAAGTTTAAGGAGAAACATGAAAAACAGTCTTGATTAATTCCAATTGTTAATTAGGTTACATCACAATGACATTAATAGCTTTAGAACATAGGCTCAATACAGAATGACTGTCCTTTGATAGCATCAGCAGTACATATCTTTCTTTCTTTTCCAGGGGGGCAAAATATTAAATAAAGTAAACCAATAGAATACATTTTAAGTATATTTTAGTGACATGGGACCTTCCAGAACATTTTACTTGATGAGATACAATATGCTGCCAAACTTTATGAAGAATGAAACAATAAGGACCTGGTAAAAGTAAAAGAAAAAGTCATTTCTGGGTAGCACATGTGCAATTTAACCGGCCACTTTCACTTTCACTTTGCAGCTTTCAAATAAAGACTGATAAAAAAAAAAAAACTCCTTGATTACAAAACAGCAACGGCCCTGGGACTGATTCAGTGAGCCAATACTGCAAAATGTGCAATACCTCTCCTCTTTGTTAGAATTTGCAGAGCAAAAACAAGAGGAGAATAATAGAATAATACTATGCTGAGAAGCATAAGGTTAATAAAAAAAATGTCTACCTTAAGAGCACAGCCATTATCTGCTTTGTTTGTTCATAGACCCCTCCCCCTGCTGTGGCCCACATCTGTCAGTGTTTGTTAAGAGGGAACAACTTTTTTTTTTCTCACTCATGAACACAGGCCAACACTGCCTCACTCTTCAAGTCTCAAGGCAGCGAGCTGACCACAGAGGGGGTTTCATTTGGATGTTTGCTATACACCGCACATCATGGTATCTTACTGAAAGAGAAACATCAGACAGTGGTTAGTAGAGATCAAGATTCAGATTTGCTCTTTGAACCGTAGATCCTGAACATTGTTCCTGCTGAATGCTTCTTAACAGACTATAGGAGCTCACAGCTTTATGACACTACAAGGTTCAAAATCATTCTTCAGTCTTTGGATCCTCGTTACCAAATCCAATAAGGAACAAATGAATGTTTGTGGTTTAAGCTAATTGCAAGCAGGAATTGGCAGAGGTTGAAATTGGGAACGAGGCTACACAGTGCTTAAAAAATACTTGAAGAGTCAATGACGGGTGGGGTGAAGGATAGTTTGTGGTGCTGCTGAATAATGATAACAAACCATACCTCACTATACTATACCTCACTATACCATACATCACCATACCAAATTCATTATACCTCACCATACATACTCAACAAACCATATACCAAACCTAAATGTTTTTGCCATTAAGCACAATTGTAATGGACTCCAGTGCTGCACATATTTAGCTGCCTCTACTGTAGTACTAATGAAAAGAAAAACAATCACAATCCAAAAAAAATCACATGTAAACAAAAAAAGGTGTAGACAAATACAAGAAAACTAATTCAAAAAAGGATACTGAGGGTTGTTTCAGGCAGCCTGCCTTCACAATTCTGACTGTTAAAGACATGTACCATTCATATTTTAGGGTGTGGATGACTTTGCCATCTAGTGGGCATGGCATTTATTGCATTGCTGAAACAAAAAAAACCATCCCATCATGATACTTCCTTTTTACCCATGGAATATGAATTCATATAAATCATTAATGTGACTCAAAAATGTTCAATTAAACAATGGATACTCCTTCCTAATCAACTTCCTGCTAACTAATAGCAGTGTATTGGGTGGAACATGTATGATTTTAACAGATTATGGCTTTGAACAGTTATACAAGTGGTCAACACTGTAACTCTTCAAGAGACGCTTAGAAAGGTTAACGTGAATATTGATTGATTGAAGTCTTTATTTCGAATAAACAATAACACCCCCCCCACACACACACACAAGAACAGTGGTTTACTGTATGAGATAATACATACTGAATGTACTATTAGGAGTACTTTCAGATGTGTCACTTTGACTGTGATTAATAGAATAATTCTGAGTATATTTAGCAAGTTGAAGTTATCTGATTGTCTTCTATAATTAAGATTCTTTACAAATCATGAACAACATGGGCCCTGCTTACAGGCTTAGGATGCTTAATTCCATTCAAGTTTCCACAACAGACAGAGAGAGAGAGATCAGCCCTTTTAAAGCCGTATCAGATGTCACAGTTGCCACCAAGTGAGACAGAAAAGATAAGAATACATTTTAAGGCTTCCTGCGTGAAATTCACGTTTGTATATTTAAATACTCTTTTCCTATATCTAAAACTGTTATTGATTTAATAAATACCTCCAAGTCTGTTTATGCAGCAATGACATGGCCGTTGTGTTTGTAATAGAGATTCAGATTTCCTGTTCAGTTTCTGCTCCTCCTGTAAGAGAGTGCTGCTTACAGATGTCTGAGTTCTTATAAAGACCACCGTGCTGCCCTAAAAGAAAATAACATGTTGACTGACTCTCCTGTATTCCACTTGTGCTTGTACTTCTTTTCTTTTCTGTGTCGGACAAATAACAGCAATGACAATAAATCACAACATCGAAAAATTCTGCCAATAGTGGAGTGACTCTTAACAGGATGAACTGCCTCTCTTTTGAGCACAGTATTGATTTTCTTCTCTTCTTACAAATAAAAGGAGGAGTACTGTTGAAGTGCAACAAGCTAGGTAACACAGTTATGAAGACATCCACTCTATTTTAATGTCATATCTCCATTTGGAGGTGCTGTAAAAATATAAAATAAAATAAAAAGTAAAGTACACACACTCAATCCCTCAGAATTTCTATTTGCAAGTGTCTCTGTGTGTGATTCCTGAATCTAATGCAGTATACAATCAACTGACACAAGGCAACTATGCTTTACAATTAGATTAAAATGTTATATCAACAAACAAACAGCAAAAGTTGTTTCCTCTCATCTAAAGTTGGCATCAGGTGCGAGCGATTTTGACAGCAGTGGTCACTCAGGCAGGAGACAGTAGCAATGTATTATGGGTAACACTGATTGAATTGCCACACAAACGTTTCGAGCCACGGCTCTTCCTCAGGAAGAGCTGAGGAGAGCCGTGGCAATGCCGTTCTGTAGGAATAAACAAAGCAGATAACGGCTGTGCTCTTGAGGTAGACATTTTTTATTAACTTATGCTTCTCAGCGTAGTATTAGTCTATTATTCTCCTCTTGTCTTTGCTCTGCAAATTCCAATATGATTAACCCAGCAATATGGCAACAAAAGGAGAGGTATTGCACATTTTACAGTATTGGCTCACTGAATCAGCCCCAGGACTTCTTCTCAATGCCGTTCATGTGGCAATTAAAATATAAAATGCTGTCTTCATCGTTTTTCTTGTTCAAATATTTTTTGGGGATTCAGCACCCAGTCGTTTTTGTTGTAAGTGAGTTGAGTGTGTTTTTAGTTTATAATTAACAGATTGAATACACACTGAATGGGTCTACCTTTGGAGTTATACACAGTAAATGTATGAGTGATAAGAGAGCTTTAAATATTGCTTTATCGTAGTTTGAGGAAGTAACGTTTGACTTTGATAGTCTAGAAATTTGAAGGCAGTGATTAAAGGTTTTAACCTCAACAAAGAGTGAAACATCTGTTTGTACTGTGCAGCATATTGAATAAGCTAAAACCACTTCACCTTGAGACTAAACTTTAGGGGAAGGCTAAAATGCTCGAACCGCCCCTTTCTTAGTCATTTGCACTATTTTGCCTCCTTGACATCTTGATTCGGCCTGTAAACTTTTTTTTGGACATTTTCTGTCACAACAGTGCGGGATGTTCTCATCCAACACATTTTTATGTCCCCCCCTTCCCCTTGTTCCTACTTCTGACTCAAAGCAACTTCCTCTTGGTAGTTTGTGTATTTTTATACCCAAACAGACACATATATCCTTTCTCCAGGAAACATTTATTCGATCAAGAGACAGGATCGCATCTTTCCATGAACAGGTCAGTTAAATATTAACAAATTTACAGTCATGAGGAATGTGATAAAAAAAACAAAAACAAAAAACAAACAATGCGCGCCTTAAAAAACCCCACCCAGGGACCCCCACCCAGGATAACGTCTACCACGGTGGAGCTGGAATGAGACTCGAATCCGCTTCCAGCTCCGTTGTTACACGCTCTTCATTCAGTGCTTCACAGTTCATCTTTGTCTGTTGTCGTCTGTGAGGGGAAAATAAAAAAAAGTTAATACAATTTTATTTTTAAAAAAGAGTTCCAGCATGTGAATGTTTTACTGTGATGATTCACATCATTAACATATCAAAGAGTATTCACCGGTTCGTCATCATCATCCTCATCTATAACTTCCTCTTTATCTTCAGCATCATCCTCCTCCTCTGCTGGCTCCTCTGGCTCCTCCTCAATCTGTTAAACAGTCAAATTGTTTTTAAAATAACACCCAGTCGTTGCTTTAAATGTTTACAAAAAAACATGAAACATTGCAACAAAAAAAGGTAACCATTTCCAATGCATAAATAAAACAGTATAAATCTGTGAAACTAAAAAAAAGAACTCCCTGAAAATGTTTCCTAAGTAATAGGAGTGTGTGTGTGGCAGCTGACATCGACTTGCCTGTTCTTCCAGATCTACGTTCAAGCTGAGTCGGAGCATGCGCTCTATCCTGTCTCCATAAGCCTTAGTGTCAGCGAGCTGGTACCCTGAACGCAGCGTGGCCGTCTCAAACAGAACCACAGCCAGATCGGATGCAGTCTGGTCCTCAGCGTCTCCCTGAAAGACGAGAAGGAAAAGAAACTGAAGCTGCTGTCTGCACCAACTGGTTTATTTTATTGTAAAGTGCTGCACTGAAAAAAAAAAATCAACTGGATAAATCATCATACCTATCATCAATAGCATAATCGAGTTTTAATTGTTAGATATACTACCATGTTGGACTTTGAAAACATACAGTAAAAATATATAGGAGTGGGTGTGGTCAGACTTACATTGACTCTGTTCAGCATCTGCTTGATGAGAGGATGTTTGGGGTTGATTTCTAATGTTTTCTTCTGACTTGCATAATAACTGAAGAGGGGGAAAGATTGAAATTAACATGTGTACAATGTTAACAAACAGGATACATGTTCTACGTTTGCATTTTAGAACTGTGATAATGAGGTGGAATATACAGTAGCTTTAAGGACACAATCAAGACTCACTTAGTGGAAATGTCTTTTCCTGTCTGGTAGGCCTGGGCCTTCATGATCCTCTCCATGTTTCCTGACCAGCCGTACTGACTGGCAACCAAAGCGCAGGGGGAGTTTGTAAGCCTCTGAGAGAGGATGGCCTTCTCAATCTATGGGAGAGACAGAAGCACGTCCAAAAACATGACTTTGTAGATCAGACGTAACCTTGCAGCTGCAGGCGAATTGTACCTCTGTCTAGCTCTAGTTTACCTTAAAGTGTATTTAAAAATAATAATCAGCCCCCTACCTTGTCCTTCAGTGGCTTATCCTTCAGCCAAGTGGTGAGAGGTTCATACTCCTTCTCCAGAGCCTCCCTCTTCTCCTTTGCCTTGTCAGTCTCGTCAAATTTGATGCCCTCCTTGGCGACGTTCTGGAAGCGTTTTCCATCAAACTCGGGGAGGGCCTGGATGCAGTACTCGTCCACAGGCTCTGTCAGGTAGATCACTTCATAGCCCTTCTTCAGCAGCTTCTCAACAAAGGGGGAAGACTCAGCCTGCAGGGGGCAACAGGACAGATGATCAACACCAGGCTTTAAATGATATACTAGTCCAAAATCTCTGATTGTTTGGGGTCAATTCCTGCACACCTTTTGTTTTTTGTTTTTTGGAAAAGAAAACTTCCACTCACCTCCTTCCTGCTGGTTCCAGCCATGAAGTAGATCTTGTCCTGCTTCTCCTTCATGCGCTCCACATACTCCTCCAGGCTGGCCAGGATGGTTTCGCTGTTGGAGGTCTGGAAGCGGAGCAGCTTGGCCAGACGGGTCCTGTTGGAGTGATCCTCGATGACGCCCAGCTTGATGTTGGTTCCGAATTCCTTCCAGAACTTTTCATTGTACTGTTCCTCTGCAATCTTCTTGATCATGTCCAAAGTCTTACGCACCAGCTTCTTGCGGATAACCTGAACAGAGAGAGAAGAATCACATCTTAAATACTCCTTATTCCTAGCACCTCCTTTCCTTTATTATATAGCTTTTAATTTGTTCTCTCTTTTATTTTCTGAGCACTCTTTACTGTTTTTCCTGAAAAAAAAATGAATACTGAAATAATGAATTAACAGATTATATGTCAAATAAATGGTATGAAGATGTGGGTTATACATTTTAGATGTGAAGCTCACCTTGAGCAGTTTGTGCTGCTGCAGAGTCTCTCTGGACACGTTCAGGGGAAGATCATCAGAGTCAACCTGGCAAAAGAAAGTGCAGAAGGTATGTGAGCAAAAGATCCAACGGTTTAAAACATCAGGACTGCGTCTGCTTTGTAGTTAGAAGTACTCACCACTCCCTTGACGAAGTTCAGGTACTTGGGCATCATGTCGTTGAAGTCGTCTGTGATGAAAACTCTCCTCACAAACAGCTGGGACAAAAACAAACATTATTTTAGAAACTGGGTTGATGGAGTTAAGTGAAGCTCATTCTTTACAGACAAAAAAAAAAAAATCCCTCGATATGGATACTGAGTACTGCTTGAGGAGCACACCTTGATGTAGTCGTTCTTCTTGGAGCCATACTCGTCGAACAGGCCGCGTGGAGCTGAAGTGGGCACAAACAGGATGGACTTGAAGGTAACCTCTCCCTCAGCCATGAAGTGGATGTGGGCCAGAGGGTCGTCGGTGTCCTTTTAGAGAAGGCAACAATAGTTAGAATTGATGAGATTAAAGTTGTGGAGTGAGGAAGGCACATCATCTAAAAAGGCTGTACTGTTGGTGCTCACCTTGGAGAAGGTCTTGTAGAAAGCCGTGTACTCATCCTCCTCAACCTCCTTCGCCGGTCTCTGCCAGATTGGCTTGATGTCGTTCATCAGCTCCCAGTCCCACACAGTCTTTTCAACCTACAGCAAACAAATCTTGTTAGACATGTTCATTTTCAACAAGACTAAATGACCAAGTATGAAAATAATCAGCTCCTACCTTTTTGGTCTTTGGCTTGTCTTTGTCCTCCTCCTCTTCCTCCACTTCCACATCGTCAGTAGCCTCCTTCTCTGGCTCTGTTGCTTCAGCATCCTCCTCAATGGGCTCTTCAACAGTCTCAGTCTGGAGGGGGGGGGGGGGGGGGGGGAATCATGCAACAGCCATGTATTAGTTTCAGTGCTGCTCAGTTTCATAATAGCCCTACACTGTGTTCAAGTGTGGACAGAAGTATTGGAAGTACTCACCTTGCTGGCCCAGAGGTATATGGGGAAGTTGATGAACTGAGAGTACTTCCTGATGAGGTTCTTGATGGTCTCGAGCTCCAGGTAGTCTGAGGCCTCCTCTTTCAGGACCAGTCTGAGGAGAGATATGGAGGATTGATTTTCAAAGTCAATACTTTTCTGGCAGTAGTTCCTCATCATGTTTAAAAAGTAACTAAAATAGCTATTTTCAACTTTAAGGTAATAAATTAAATAAGAATGTAAAAATAGACCCACGTGATGGTGGTTCCTCTTCCCAGTGTGTCCCCGCGGGGGTCCTCGATGACTGAGAACTGGTTAGAGTCAGACTCCCAGATGTGCTGGGTGTCATTGTTGTGTTTAGACGTGACGATGACTTTGTCAGCAACGAGGAAAGCCGAGTAGAAACCCACACCAAACTGGCCAATCAGCTCCGAGGTGGACTGGTCCTCAGCCTGCATCTCTGTCATCTTGTTGAGGAACTCGCTGGTGCCAGACTTGGCGATGGTGCCCAAGTTCTTCACCAGCTCCTCCTTGGTCATTCCAAGACCAGTGTCAGTGATGTGCAGCATGTTCTTCTCCTTATCAGACTGGGGAGGGGGAATAATGGCATTATTGCAGAGTAAGAATTATTATCATTACCAGTAAAGACTGCAACATGCAGTAAATAAACATACTTTTATTTTGATAGTTAGCTCTTCATTTGATGCCATTGCCTCCTCATTGGTCAAGGACAACAAGCGGATCTTATCCAGAGCATCGGAGGCGTTAGAGATCAGCTCCCTGAGGAAGATCTGAAACAAAAATAAAAATCACGAGATTGTTAGATGAGCCAGTCATAAAGAAGTCTGTAAGACAAATGAGCCAATTGAGGTTCACTATAATACATGAAAACTTAAACAAATGAATGATGCAGACACTGTCTTGTTCCCAACATTCATATTTATGATAAGTGATTCAATTGCCACCGACGACCCCTCAAACAGCAGACCAGCTCATTCTTTCCCTCCCCAAGATCTCAAAGAACACCAAGTGTTGTAGTGGTTTGTTTGTTTAGTGACAGCAGATAAATGTTAAATATTATTTAAATACACAACGGCTGAACTATCTATTCAAAATGATTTGAGTTCAAATTTGACCTTTTTTGTTGGTGACAGTTTCAATAAATATTCATTAATGTAATATTTTTTCTTAATGTTGAATTTGAAGCATCTATTGTTATGTGTTGCATTACCGATAATTGTAATGTGCACAACAAAGTTTACAATGCGTCTGATTTAATGACTACAGTAATTGTTCCTATGGAAGTCCTTTCATTGCAATAATTTTCGAAAAAAAAAAAAAAAAAAAGACTTAACACTCAGGGATTTCAGGATTCAGCCCCAAATCTGCACTGACCACACCTGTCTCTGATACAAGTGATAGAAAGAATCTTGTTAAACAGACGTTTGCACATCCAGACTTCCTCACCTCCTTGTTTTTGTAGAGGGAGTTAATGATCAGCTTCATCATTCTGTTGACTTCAGCCTGAAAGACATGTTTCTCAGACTTTTCTCGGATTTCCTTAATCTGAGCTGCATTCAATCCATCCAGCTGGATAGCCTCCTCCTCTCTGAGGGAAGACACAGAAGCACCAACAGGTGGGGTCAGGCAAATGCACAACAAATCACAGGTGTCAACAACCAACATGCAAATTTTTTTCTCCTCCCTAGAGATCGGCGTCCAGGATACGAAAGCCTCCCCCCCCGCCGCTCATAATAAAAGGGAGGTAGCAAAACCTTAAAAAGCTCAGCACATTGAAGGGTTGCTATGAACGCTTGTGTGCATAGGCTTGGTCATGTTGACCTTGATCAGTTCGCTCAAGGTTTAGTCGACCTCTCGAAATAGAGACAAACAAAGATCACTCAACAGGCACATTAGTAAAAGTGACACCCACCTCTGCACCACCTCGTCATCTGTTCTTGAGCCATCTCTGCTTTTTCCAAGATCCTCCTCCACTGTCCCATCGACGTCAACTTCATCCTCCGCCTTTACAGCAGCTGCCAAGGGACAAAAAAGTTGTTGGAATTAAAAATTGACAACACAACATTGACCTCAGGTGTACTTCGACAAATCTTAGGCAATTAACATGATTGAATGAATTAAATATCAGAATAAAACTCAGCAAAAGACGTAATTAAATGAACAAGCAAACACGATATAAGCTTAAGTAGTAGGCTAGCTTTATCTGGGACAAAAAAAAATAAAATAAAAAGGCTTGACATGTGTGCAAAAGAGAGGTTTTTTTTTTTCCACGGGGGGGGTGTTAGCTAGCATCGGGCAGCTTCAACACGCATTGTGAAAATAAGAGGAAACTTCTAGAAAAGGCGTGCAGGAATAACGAAGAAATGTGATGACGCCCAATTAACAACGCCGTTTCAAAGTACGAAAACGTCCAAAATGAAGCTAGAAATTAAATATATGTGACGGGTCCTGGTGAATAACGAGCAGGGAAGAAGCACTAAGTTAACGCTAGCTGACATGCTAATGCTGAGCTGGAACATTGAGACATAAAAAGGGGAAAGAGACAGCAGATGTTTTCAATACTCACCAAAGGCTAAGAGTGCAAAGAGAACTCCTACGACCCAAACTCGTTTCATTTTTTGAGACGACGTGTGTCTTTTGCTCCTGAGACAAAAGCCGGGATATCAGTGCACGCAGCACTGCCTTTTTACAAGCGAGACTGACAAGGTACCACTCGCCACCGAAAGAGCCCACTCTCTTAAACCCGTGACAACCGACCAATGGCTGAGCACCACGCACAACCTTTGACCAATCGAAGCGGAGTCTCCGGTGCATGTTGTCCAATCAGATTCTTCAACATAAGTTAATACCCGAAAATCGTGGCCCGACATCATTGGACAAGAACGCACATCATTTCCTAACATTTACCTCTCATTGTAGAAAAAAAAAAAAAAAAATCCCTGGAGTTAAAGTTTGATTTTCTTACGCAATATTACAGCCGAGTGACATACAGGTGTTGGAAAGCACGTTATTGATTAGGAGTATAGTTTTAGTGAGTGTAGCATGATGGTTATATCAGTCTGTGCCAGCTTAATGTTAGTCTTTCATGTTTACCTTCATTGTGTGGTATCGATTTGACCAACCTAAACTGACCTTTCTGTAAAGGTTTCATTCATCGTAAGGGGGATATGCTGCTGCATGCTGAATGATAACAAAAAGTATCCGCATTTCGGATCTTTGTCCACGGGGGGGCGCTGGTCAATTACTGAGTTTAAAATGCAAATTCTGGCAAACCTCTCCCCCCCAAACGAACAGCACCATTGATCCGTGAAATAACTGAGGATGAGTCATTATGAAATCACTTAAAGATTGTTAAAAACTGCCTAACTCTGTTATTAAGTACCAATGTGATCATTTTAGTGCTGCTCTCAATGCAGGTCTGATGGGTGTGCACCCACTCATGTGGGTTTATGATAGTGTTACAGGTGTCTAATAGCACTTACAATTACAGGCGTGGATATAAGGAGGTGGGGTTTCAGAGATATGGCAACGCTTACTGACACGTACTTACATGAAAGTCAGCGTTTGGGGCGGCAGTAGCTCAGTCTGTAGGGTTCAAGTCCCGGTGCGGACCAAATATGGAAGTTGGTCTGGTAGCTGGAGAGGTGCCAGATCACTTCCTGAGCACTACGGAGGTGCCCTTGAGCAAGGCACCAAACCCCCTCCCCACCACCTGCTCAGGAGCGCCCGCTGTGCAGCTCTGTCACTCTGACAGCTCTCCATTAGTGCATGTCCAGAGGACCCTGTTTGTGCATGTGTGTGTATTTCAGCCTATGTGTGTGTTGCATGACTTACAGAGTGTAGGAAACAGAAATTTCCCAAAGGGATCAATAAAGTTAATCTTAATCTTAATATAATGAATATTTATCGGTTATGCTTTTGGGCTTGCATCAATGGCTGCAGGAGTTTGAACACACAACTTCAACTCCTTTTAAAAAAAACACTTTTAATCCACTAAGTAACAAGGTATAATAATATTGCTTAACGAACGCAATTTCTAACAAAACAATAAAACAGCTGGAGGAATACATTACAGTAAAAACATGTAGGCCTATATAGGAGTTTGTAGGACAGTTTGCCAAACTCAGCATTACATTGCTGTGACTTGCCTTAAGTGTAAAACTCTCTAATTATTATTTTATTGTATGTCATTATTAAACTAATTATCTCATAATTTCGATTTGGTCACGAGATACTAAGGCCTGGTTAGACTCTCTTAGTCGAATTAATGAGATTAAGTCAAAAGAGAGAACAACACATGTAATGTCTATGTATAGGCCACTAAAGCTGAATAAGAAGACACATTATTAAAATATACAATCTCTGTAGGAAAATATAACCCGAGGTATTTAGTCTATTGGAACTCTTTTTCTCAAGTTTTGTTTTACATTTTTACGAGTACTTCATTGTTGACGATTAACATTTTATCGATTTTACAATGTTTGAATGCGAGAGAGAGATAAGTCATTCTATTTAATAATCTTCAGCTATAATAACTTGATCTTAGTTATTTGTATCAGCCTGATTGTATTTGTCTGCTCTGCTCGGCACAGTTGTAAACGAGCGTTCTCCCTCAATGTGCTTTACAAGGATTTAAACAAATAAATTAAATAAATGAATGAAAATGAACTCTCTTCCCGGATCGTACATATTTAACGCACGTATCGGGTAACATCTCATTCAAGCCGTAAGTGGAAAAGTAGGAAGCAACTTAACTGCAGACGCATTTGCCTCTGATTGGCTATTGGTGTGTGGCCCCTCCCAAACGCGGAAGTGACGTACAACCCAGGGACTCATGTTATTTACAGAGAAGCCTGTTAACCTCATGCACTCGTTTGAGATCTCACCGCGACCTACAAACGGGCTGCCATCCAAACACCGGAGTCATGGCGCCCTTGTCTCTGCCCCTGTCGTCTCTGTTGAAGCACAGGGACTGTCTCCAGAAGGTGTTCAGTAATGCAGTGCAGGGTCTACGTCACCGGCCGGCCACATCTCGCTTATGGAAACGCAGTTTCGGCGCAGTAACACATGAAGTCGGTCAACTACTGTCAAGCCAGAGCAGAACCCAAAACTACGCAGCATCTGTTTGTAGGAGCTCTTCAGGCGGTCCGGACATGAAAGAGAGGCTGTGGTCTCTTTACAATGAGACCAAGAGACAGACTGAAGGTATGGACACACTTCAAACACAGCACTGCGGTAGTAGGCTGCAAAAACTGTCGTTGTCTAATGATCCTGTTATGACTGTTTCCAGCAGGTTATACTGCAACAACCAATTTACAGAACCTCTAACAAACGGGCTTCAAATTATAACTGACAGCATATAGGTGGAAATGATTTGTTGTTATAAACTATGATACTTTGATGTGCACTTACGTGGATGGAAAACACAACATGAACAACTTAATATCCAATGCCAACCTTTTTGAATCTTGTAGCACTCAAACTTTAAGGCTTTGAATAGATTGAAAATATGGATAATTGTGCAAGTTTCACTTCTGTTGAGGTTTTTATTATTCAAGTTCATATCTAAAATTGTGCCCAAATCCTCAATACTAATTCAAAACCAGGTTATGCACGAGACTTCAGGGGTTTAGTTCCATCCAGATTTTTAAAGAGTGGTGCAAATCAGGTGAAAACAATCCAAATACCTGGAAAAAAAAAAGAAGAAAGAATGCAAAAACAATCAAAAGATAATGCAATTATACTTGGCGAAGAGTTGAATGTATGATGTCCTAACGGTGATTGTATTATTTCCACTCCTGAACAGGTTAAATAAATGCCAGTGCCATATCAGCACCCTCCATTAAATGTAACGACTTCTTATGAGAAGTTTGTCTTATGCACTTAAGTTGTTATGCTTGTAACAAATAATGTACTTAGATATCTGCTTTTGTCTTTAAAGGCGACCCTCTTAGACCGAGGTTTTTTTTTTTTTTTAAGATTTTTTTTTGGGCTTTTTGTGCCTTTTAATGTAGAGATAGGACAGTGGATAGAGATGGAAATCAGGGAGAGAGAGAGAGAGAGAGAGAGAGAGGGGAATGACATGTGGGAAAGGAGCCACAGGCTGGATTCGAACCTGGGCGACCCGCTCGGAAGACTACAGCCTCCATACATGGGGCGCGCACACTAACCACTGCCCCACCAGCGCCCCTTGTTAGAGAGTTTTTTTGTGTTTCTGTCATCAAACATATCCGAGTGGGAAAAAAAAACTGCTTGATAACCTGAGGTGTTTCTCTCTTCTCAGAGTTGATCCCAGTCTTACACACCAACTCAGTGGACCCTGATACCATTTTTGCCAACAATGAGATGAGTCTGCGAGACATAGAGATCTATGGCTTTGACTATGACTACACACTGGCCTTCTACTCCCGACACCTCCACACCCTCATCTTCAACATAGCGCGGGACATCCTCATCAATAATCACAGGGTGGGTGCACTGTACGACTCCTTCTGGCATTTGAAACTTGTTTTCAGTACAGACAAACTCATTCTACTTGGCTGAATATGATATATTATATACGTGTATATATGCTTTATTGTTCTCTTGGAGAAATGTGTCTTTGCCTCCAAGTGCTGCAAACACTTAGCTGCCTCCACAGTAGTATTAAGAGAATAAAAAAAACAGTTAAATGAAACAACAATCCACATGTACACAGAGAGGCAAATATCAAATGAAAAACACAACATACAGCATATTACATAATACTTAAAAAGCACAAGATCTGCATAAACACAACATAATCAATATTGTGTGTTGCTGTAGGAGAGCGGAGGATTAAATGTGGCCGAGGTGTCGCCAAACAGAGGTTTGTTTTGGTTTCATGCTTGTGCTCAGTGGCGACAACTACTGGATCAAAAAGTCACACATTCTTCATTTAAAACCACCAAAAATATTTCCAGTGCACTTTGGTGCTGATTGAACATAATCATATTCATTCAGTTTAAAACTGGGCTTGTACAATAGAGCAAAGTTTTTACCCACACAGGTAGCTCATGTTTCAGCCTTTGGGTTGCCCTATTAGTTTCAATCAATTGTTTGAAAGATGATTTGATTTTGCTGTCATTGAAAATCTCAACCACAATTTTTAATTGTCTTTACATTAGTATCCTGAGGGTCTGCGAAAGTATGAGTACATCCCTAATTTTGCTGTAAGAGGGCTTCACTATGACGTCCAAAAGGTGAGAAGGTTCTTTCTTATCTATCTCATTAAACATCTGCTGTTCTTTGTGCTCAGTTAAAGAGGATGTCTGTGTTAATATTGAATGATTTGTGACAGGCACTGCTGATGAAGATAGATGCTTTCCACTACATCCAGTTGGGAACGGTATACAGGTATCAGTTTAAAAGTGTTTAATGTGTCCTTTGTGCAACCACTGAACATTTAAGGCTAAATATGAAACAGCTTTTCTGTCAGCTCTCATCTCCTGTGTGAACATGCTGAAGAACATTGTATGAACTGATGATCTGTTTATTTTGTATTTTCCTTCAGGGGTCTTCATCCAGTTCCTGAGGAGGAGGTCATCGCCATGTATGAAGGCTGTCACGTACCTCTAGAAATCATGAGCGACTTCTACGGGAAGGTGATTTTCATGTCCTCTTTTTTTTTTTCTTTTTTTTTATGGCCAAACACAATTCAAATCAACAGAATATAATTACTATAATCTCTGTCTTGCAGAGTTCTCATGGCCACACAATGAAACAGTTTATGGATATTTTCTCACTGCCTGAGATGACCCTCCTGTCCTGCGTGAATGACTTCTTCATGAGGCACAACATTGACTATGAGCCCGTCCATCTCTACAAAGACGTAAAGGTGAGCTGTCTTGAATATTTAAACATCTATGATCAGTGTTTTGGGAAAGTGAGCTGACATGATTAGAAAGATATTGACTCTACTTTATCCAGTATATTGCACCTCTGATGTATGTATCAGCACATAAATGTTTAGAACATGTTTGTTTGTAGGGGTGCTGGGATACTTAAGCCATTCTGTGCTGTCTTAATTTTAGCTCTGAAAAACCGGAGTCTAAATTTAGTCAACAAGCACGCCTGCAGCCATCTGTGTGTGTTCTCTGGTGGCTCTGCTACTTCAGAGAGGGAGAGGGGTGGGAAATGAGCGCTGTCATCTCGCTTTGGAGGGTAGCTGTCATGCTGCTCCTGTCTATTCTACGTGACGCTGCAGCCTTTTTGACAGATTGCTGTCATTAAAAGCCCTCACACACGCTCACTGTTCCTCGAGTGCCTCTCATAACTATTCAAGGACAAACTGCTTGTGCTTTTTGTTCTCCCAAAGGCCTGATTCATTTTGCAGCATTTATAAGCTCAACTTTCCTTTTACGTTTAATACAACAAATAACCATTGTATAAGACAAATCTCCTTTGAATTTGTCCCTTACAAGAGCTGCTTGGCAGAGACGAGTCTATTGACACATGTATCTACTCAAAAACAAAAGTCACCCTGTTGGAAATTCGCTATACACATGTTCTCCCCGTGTCACCAAAGTGCCAAACTCCAGGGCTTTGCTTTCTTCATGTGGGATTTGTATTTCAGACATGTGCTTTTCTTTGTGCTTCCAAGTCAGCCGTTTATGCACAGTGCAAAGTGTTGCTGCTGGAGATGAATGCTTAACATTGTCACTGATGTGATGACTTCTTTGCTGAGGGCTGTTTACCTTTTTTTTTTCTCTTCTCAGGAAGCCATTAGAGACGTTCACGTCAAGGGTATAATGTACCGCGCTGTGGAGGCAGACATCGGTAATGTTCTCTAATTTATACAACTTTTTTTTCAAAGCTAATTTAAAATATTGTATATCTGAGCTGCTGCCGAGACATAAAAAATGTATTAAGTACTAACGAGGCTGCGATTTACAAATAAAAAGCAGTTGTGTTTGTGTGAATGATATCAGTATCACCCCTCCTCCTCCTCATCCTCTTTTTTTCTCTCTCTCTGTTTTCTCATTCTGCAGAGAAATATATTTGCTACGGTGAGCAGAGCCACGCTGTGCTGAAGAAGCTGTCAGAGCACGGAAAAAAGATGTTCCTCATTACCAACAGTCCATTTGACTTTGTGTAAGTGCGAGCCAGCCACTGTTTGCATGATTCATTAAAAATGTCATGCATTAGCGAGCTCATGTTTTATTGGTGCTGTACAATACCTCCACATTTAGATAAGGGTAGCCATCATATTAAAAAAAAGGCGTGTTTATAATTCATAGAATAATCATTGACAGGCACAAAATGATCAGCTCTGCTTGTCCGACCTTAAAGTCTCCGAGCTCCAAACAACATGAATCATAAGCCAGTGAGTCAGTTTATTTCAAGAGAAGACTTAAAAAGCAAATATTGACCAAAGAGCTTTACAGAGACAACAACAGCAGCAGTCCAATATCACATGACATAAATAAGAGCGATTAATAAGCGCAATCTTGATGAACAGAATTGTACAAACAAATAAAGAACAGACAAATAAAAGCCAGCTGTGATCAGCATGTCTTCATTATGACGCTCTGGGAATCTCAAGAGACAGGTCTTTAGAGAAAAGGAAACTGAGATGCTGCACTCTGATATTTGAGATATCTAAAGCTTTCTAATGCAACATCCTCTAAATCTTGTAGAATCTGTTTTCTTCTCACCTAATGATTCACTAACTAATCTATCTGCTGTTATTGTAATTTTCCGTATTGTAATTTCTGCACTGTCTCGTTGATTTGTCTGTTAAGAATGTCCCCTTCATGTTCAACTTCCTGAGTTTTTTTTTAGTTGAACCCTATGAAATATAATTTTAATTGCATGTGGTTTCTTTTTGTTTGCATGTTGTGCATCAATGGAGAGGGTGTTTGTTTGGCTAAATTTGAACCTTTAGTGTGATAAATGCAGCTTCTCTGTTTCCACTCTGTTGCTGTTCTGTGCACCATCACACAACTGGGATAAGATGAACACACTTATCCCTTTATTAAAACGTTTATATAGAAGGTTGTAACTAACTTGGCAGTTTCATTGAGTTAAATGTAAAGTCACACACACACACACACACACAGACAGAGTGTCAGACTTTTTGTACATGTTTTTGCTGATGTAGGGATTTGCCCTCATGATGAGTTTTGAGATGTTGCTGACTAGTCAATATTTTGAAACCGCTGTCCTTCACAGAGATCGGGGGATGAGCTACATTGTGGGCAAAGACTGGAGGGACCTGTTTGATGTTGTGATCGTTCAGGCAGACAAACCTGGCTTCTTCAATGACAGGAGAAAGTAAGTGTTTCTGTCGGTGCCTCTTGAATCCACCCATGTAGGACTGAAAGCTGTTACACTGTTTGTGAGGTGTGTAACTGTTTAAAGAGCTGACAATAATATAAGTAGGTAAGATATGTATTTCTTTATTTTCCCCCAGACCTTTCAGGAGAGTGACAGACAAAGGGGCTCTGCTGTGGGACCGGATCCACAGGTTGGATAAAGGGCAGATCTACAAACAGGTGTTGTACCAGGACATGACATGCCAGCTTAAAATGATTTCTGCTCAATAAAAACATCCTAGAAAACATATGATTGACTTTTTTTGTGTTTGTATTTTTCATAGGGAAATCTTTATGAGTTCCTGAGACTGACTGGCTGGAGAGGATCCAAAGTGCTGTACTTTGGTGATCACATCTATAGTGACTTGGCAGTAAGTAGCATTCAGTATTAGTATCACCCTGCTGCGATACTGCTCAATTTAAAGGCAGGCTTGGTAATTTTTGAAAAACTGGCATGGTTTTGAAAGTAGCATTCCCTCAGTGAGATTCTTAACTGGAACAAAGATCCTAAAAAAAAAAGAGGGTGTATGATGTTATTCTTATTCTGTGAAACTATAGTAACCGTAGCTCTGCATCAGGATTGGCTGTTGGGCATTTTAATGAGTGTCAGTGTCTCCTAGTATATCACACCTGCAGCAGTAGGTGTCACTTCTTATACCTGTATATTCTAAACTTGCACAGAGCTCCCCCTCATCTGCTCTAAACAAAACAAGCATTACTGGTTTTTTTTTTTGATTGTGTCACAATGAGTTATAACATCTTGGATATTTAAATGTAATTGATTGGCTGTAAATGGTGTTGATGAAAGACAGAGTTTACATGTCTGGCATAATGCCTTGCTGTTAGCACCCGGCTGTCAAACACGTCGCCTTGCTTATTAAATAGAAGATGGAAGATGTCGTTTGCAGGTTGGAGCGACCACTCTTATAGACGGTATCTCAGGCTGTGGGGATGAGATCATTACTGCCAGGAGGACACAGAGCTGGAACATCTCTGAGCTGATAAGGAGGGAGGGATTCAGTGACATTTTACACATACTTAATGTGGTTATATTACTAAACCTAAGTAAAGTTCTCACTTTGCAGGATTCACTCAGTCAATCATTAATCAATAAGCACTTTTCATGGAAGGAAATGTGACTCAAATACACAAAAAAACAGGAACTGTAGAAACGCTATCCTCTAAGTCAAGTGAAGAAACACCAGCTAATGAATTAGACAAATAGAAACTCTCACTTTGTATGTTTTTTTTGTAGAATTAACACAGAATATAATCCGTACTGTATTTATGTAGTCAGATTAATTCAAACTTAATTAAAGGCCATCCTAAATAGGGAAAATAAAACAGAAAAATGCAAAAAAAAATCTCAATTTAAAATTGAAGATAGTTGTTATCTATAAACTCAAGTCATTTGAACTTCTTACACAACTCAATCATGCTGTCTACTGTGGTAAGAGTTCAAAACTGCTTTTCTTGACCTGCGCCTTTGCTTTGCAGGATCTGACGCTGAAACATGGCTGGAGGACGGGCGCCATCATCCCTGAGCTGAGGAAGGAGATCAAGATCATGAACACAGAGCAGTACATGCACATGATGGCCTGGTTACAGGCACTGACTGGACTCATCGAACAGATGCAGGTCAGGAGAATTCAAACAAAAATGTATGTCTGTTTGTTTTTGAAGCTTCACGTTGATTTTGTGCTTAATATTCTATACACTGCTCCTGAACAGGTACACAGGGATCCAGTCTCTCAGGCTGTGGTTGAGGAGTGGATCAGTGAAAGAGAAGCCATGAGGTAATGGAAAAAATATGTTTGGTGATCAAAAGCAGTTTTCATCATGTGAGAATCTTGTAGAAGTGATCCATATCTGTATTGACGGTATGCACATGTTTTCTTAATTGGCAGGCCACAAACTAAGGACATCTTCAACAGTCAGTTCGGGAGTCTTTTCCGGACGTACCACAACCCCACCTACTTCTCCCGCCGACTCTCCCGCTTCGCTGACATCTACATGGCCTCCATCAGCTGCCTGCTCAACTACGACTTCCAGCACACTTTCTTCCCTCGCCGCACTCCCCTGCAGCACGAGTCCCCCTTCTGGCCTGAGCACAGTCCTGCGGGTATCAGCAGCGTCTCCTCGCAGCTCCACAGCTCCAAAGCAGAGTCCGATTAGAGAGACAGAATGGAGAGATCAGAGGTCAAATGTTCAGACCAGGATCTCCATCTGTGGCTTAGGCGTAGGTTTTATTTTCACATTTTAAGACGTGGCTCTGTAAAGGGTGCTTGTCACATTTTAAAGCTTGTGTAAATCATGCAACTGTTACTTATTAAGCTTTAGTTACTCTTTAAAGGCTTTATATGCGATTTTTTTTTTTTTATCCAGCAGATGTCGCCTAGAGCACCAGAAACCAAAACAACTTGCGGTGCATTTTTGTGTTAGCATGCTAATGCTAGCGATCTTTATTATGCTCGTATCTTCACATTGCATGTACATTTACCTGAAATGAGCGTGATGTAGAAACGCAGTTAAGCAGTGAGTCAGTATGTTATTCTTCTTTTCTCTAGTCCCTCGATTAAACAACTTTTATACGTGAGGGGAGGAGTCAGCCGTCGTCCTGGCGATGTAAACAAACTGAAGATATGACTCGGAAAACATCACAGACAGTGGGACTCGGGTGTTACACCCATTGTAGACAGTCATTACTCACAGAGTTATTTTCAGAGGATATACTTGATTTATATTATATTTAAGTAAAATCCCGTATAAAGCCTTTAAGAGGAGCAGTGGATATACCTTCTTTTTTTAGCCAAATGACATCTAATGAGAATTTTAGGCATTTTGCACTGTTTGTTTTAGGTTTGCATATGTGTGTGTATGTGTGAGTGTGTGCATGAGTGTGAGGTAAAGAGAAATTATAAACCGATAATGCAGTACCACAGTTTAAACAATAGGGGGCAGCAACACATTAAGTCTATCTTAGATCTGTGATATAAGGACCATGCTGGAAGAGTCTTTGCTTTTTATCCTTTGCTTTTGTAAAATCGCAAGATTGTAGTTGAAATGGGGATACTCAGATGTCAAATTTACAAGTCAAACTTTGTTGCCTTAACCTCACAACACTCTGATGTACATTTGTCTTTCACCAGCCTGATGTAATGAGTCATCTTTTTTTTATTCTTTACCATGCAGCAGCTTAGTTCATCTTGAACAACACATTGTAATACAGTGCACATTTCTGTTCAGAAATCTTGTTCTCTGACTGTTTGAACCAGTTACACACTGCTCAGCCTGTACGTCTCATTTGAGCAGGGAGAGATGTTTAATATTTGTCTGGAAAAAAATAGAGCGTCGTTGCTATATTTAGCTGTTTCTCTATTTGATCATGTGAAGGCAGCATGTGGGTTTGACACTTTTCACTGAAAGTGTGTGAAACATTTTCACACATGCTGGAGAAGAATATGTTTGTTATGAGCTAGAAATGTTGAGTTTTTAAATGTATGGAAAAATGTTATTCTTAAATGTAAATGGCCATAGCCAGGACCTCATGGTTTGATTTTCTGTTTAGTTTAAAATATGTCTTGTTGTGTCTTTATTTTTCTATTTATTAAAATATATATGACTCAATGATGCTTTCTACGTGTTGATTAGGTGGATTTAAATCTACTTCATGTGGTTTAAATAAATGCTCTGTCATTGCATTTCATCAATCTTTCACACAAAAAAGTTTGTGAACTACAATCGGGGAAATCTTAAACAATTTGAAAGTAACGTTTTTGGGACTACTTATCCTCCCTAATAAATCTCCAGTTTCTAGTAGCCATTATATTAATAGGCCCTGGTTTCTTAGAATTAATCCCTCCAAATCGTGTTAGGGACTCATATCCCATATTGCCTTCGAGGCTTTCTCTATCAGGCAGGTGCATCATCAGAGATCTTGGAAAATGAACAAAGCCGAGTGGTTTAACGGGATCAGAAGCGATAAGATCGATGTCGCTGTGTTTTGAGCTGAGCAGAGTGTCTGTGGGTTCAGTATCAGGCCCTCACACTTGGTGCAGGACCTCGACTTCATTTAGGCACCATGGACAGAAACAGCACGCCGTGGAGCTCCGGCTCTCACCCTCCATCCATCCACCTCACCGCGATGGTGGGGACGGTGGCGCCCACCATCTTCCCCCGGTTGGGCTACAGCGTCCTGTCCTTCCTCATGTTCATGAACACAGTGCTGACGGTGTTCAACAACAGCCTGGTCATAGCGGTGATGATGAGGAACCCGTCTCTCCTGCAGCCCATGAACGTTTTCATCCTCAGCCTCGCGGTGTCTGACCTCATGATCGGCCTGTGCGGATCCCTGGTGGTCACCATCACCAACTACCAAGGCTCCTTCTTCATCGGCCACGCGGCCTGCATCTTTCAAGGCTTTGCTGTCAATTATTTTGGTGAGTTCAGAGAGCAGTTTCTGTTCTTTAAACAGATCATCTTCCTCTCTGGCATTATTGTTTCACACAAGTAAATCTTAAAATGTATTTCAGTTTGAGATTTCATTTATAACAACCTTTATTTTAGACTTATCCTGCTTAGTCAAGGGGTCAAGACTAAAGCAGGGAAACAGCATAGATAGAGTTACACAGGCAGAGCAATACATACACTGACAAGGTGAAATATTAATCATAAAACAAGTGCAAAAAAGCCACAAGCATGTGATAAAGATAAAGATAAAGATAAAGATAAACTTTATTGATCCGTGGGGGAAATTTGTGCATTACAGCAGCTCCAGAAAACAGGGGACGGGAATATACTTATAAAAAATAAAAATAGAAGTTAAAAACAGATCAAACATATTTACATCATTTAAATAAAATAAAAAAAATACAATAATGTAAAAAAATACAATAATGTAAAAAAAATAAAAATACAATAATGTAAAAAAAAATACAATAATGTAAAAGAAATACAATAATGTGATGTTGAAAAACAACTAATGTAGGAATAACCCCTCAAAGATTCTTTTTCCATATTTAGTCAAGGTACAGTACAATTCCAGATGAAAATCAAGCCAGGCAGTTTCTTGTGCTAAAGTTCAAGACTTAGTTTTTCTTTTATTCAGTCTTTCAATAATTTTTGTATGAAATGTCTGAAATGTTGTGTTTCTTTCTTGAAAAATGTTACTTTTAACAGTTCATTATTGAATTTGAAAACTGAAAGCTGAAATTCAAGCACGGCTGTAGTGTTTTCTTAGAAACAAAAATAGAGGTATTTGAGATGCTCTCGTTGACAACTCTTGTTATTGATGTGGTTGGAGTCTGAACAAACAGCTTATAAGTCAACCTGAAGCTTAGATTTTTTTTGTCACTCATAGGTCTGGTGTCGCTCTGGACTCTGACTCTGCTTGCCTACGAGCGCTACAACGTGGTGTGTAAGCCGAGAGCCGGCCTGAAGTTGAGCATGCGGAGAAGCATCATTGGTCTGCTGTTCGTCTGGATCTTCTGCTTGTTCTGGGCTGTGGCTCCGTTATTCGGCTGGAGCTCCTATGGACCTGAGGGAGTGCAGACCTCCTGCTCTCTGGCCTGGGAGGAGAGATCGTGGAGCAACTACAGTTATCTCATCCTCTACACACTCCTGTGCTTTATCCTGCCTGTCATGGTCATCATCTACTGCTACTCCAAAGTGCTTAAATCCATGAACAGGGTGCGTTCATGATGACTTCTGCACATTTATAACTCCCTTTTTAGATTTCTATCCACATCTCCATCCTAGTCTGTTTGTAGCCTAATACACGTTATTAGCTTTTGAAGGGTGCAAAATGTGCTTTCTGTTCTAGCTGAACAGGAGTGTGGAGCTCCAGGGGGGGCGATCGAGCCAGAAAGAGAACGAACATGCCATCAGTATGGTCCTGGCCATGGTCATCGCTTTCTTTGTCTGCTGGTTGCCCTACACAGCGTTGTCTGTGGTGGTAGTCATGGATCCAGAGCTCTACATCCCCCCTATTGTCGCCACCATGCCTATGTACTTTGCCAAGACCAGCCCTGTGTATAACCCCATCATCTACTTTCTGTCAAACAAGCAGGTAAGACGCTGCTAATTAGAGTGTGCATTAAATAAGCTCAATCAATCTATGGATCATGTTATGTGTCAAGACATTTTACAGGAAATCTAGGCTGTATATACTGTTCTTTTTCTATTAGTCAAAGAGAACTGAAATGTATCCACCACGAGCTAACATTAGGCATCACTGGCAAGAAAGAAAACCTCCTTTTGACGGGCAGTAACGTAAAAAACCTCGAGCTAAATCAGACCGATGGTTGGACAGCCATCTGCTGGGACCAGATGGACCGAGAAAGTGGGATAGGGGGGAGCAGCAGAAAACAGCGGTGGAAAGAGACAGACAGACAGACAGGCAGACAAGGAGATGTACTAACAGCAACAGAAAATAAGAACAGATAATAGAAGCTGATGGTAAAAATGAAAATAATAATATTGATTAACTGCTAATATTCATAGGATTTATATTACAGTTGCAACTATATCTAAGATTATATAAGTATGACTGATTATTATAATTCAAGCATTTGAAGTTTAGCAGGTCCACAGCAGATGGTCTGGATGAGCCATCCACAGAAACCTGTGAGAAAAGAGATGAGAAAAACTCCCAGGAAGACGGAACGTTACAGTCACATACATTGATGGGAAACTTATGAATCCAGATAGAGAATGGAGGAGACTGGATCTCAGTGTATTAAGTCTCCCTGCAGACTAAGCCTATAACAGCTCAACTAGGGGCTTTTTTGAGGCAAGCCCTTACTATAATTTCTAAAAAGGAAAGCTTCAAGCCTACTCTTAAAAGTGGCCAACGGGTAGACGCCTCCACAGAAGAGGGGCCTGATAATTGGTGGCTCTACCTCGCATATTACTCTTGAAAATGTTAGGTACCACAAGCAGGCCTGCATTCAGGGAGCACTATGACCTAGAGGTGAGTAGGTCACTATGAGCGCCTAAAATACTTGTGCTTGAATATTACCTGTAAGAGCTTTGTGATTGAGAGTTAAGATTTGAAATTCTAGTTTCTAGTTTTTTAAAAGGAGCCAGTGCAGAGAATCTAATAAAAAAAAACAACATTTTAATTACTTTTTTTACTGTTTATCTGTCCAACAGTTCCGTGATGCCGCCCTAGAGGTGCTTTCCTGTGGTCGTTACATTCCCCACACCCCCACCGCCACTATCAGTATCAACATGCGGCCCCTGAACAGGAGAAGCCGGCTGACTTCCTTAAGCAGGAGCGTCAACACTCACAGCAAGGTGTTGCCCCTGTGACAAAAAAAAAAAAAAACCCAAACAGAAACACGAAGCTGCCATGCACCGTTGTCAGTGTTTATCAGTGCCTCGTCAAGGACTCAGACCTGCACATCTCCAGATCAGAGCGTAGCTCAGTGAGAACACAATCGGCTCAGAAAGCTGAATGCTGATATCCTGAGAGTGGTCAGCATAAGTGAAAAACCTTTTGACCCATTATAATGCAATCCGATCTAAAACCAGTGAAAAAACTGATCATGTTGTTGTTAAGATTACGTAAGAGAGAAATTTTGTTTTTCAGCTCGTCAGCTTGTTTGGCTTTTATTGGATTGTCCATGTAGTTATCCTTTGTCCATTTTTTTTTTGGAACAATAACATTACTCATTTTCATTTTTATTCATGTGCTTTGTGTTGATCAATAAACTGTAACCTTTTTCACACTGACGTTTGCAGGTTGTGTGCTGTAAGTATGTGGGGAAACTAGCCAAAGAAACCGAGCAGAAAGGAGATTTTGAAAGAAAGATAAAAACTGAAATGAATGATTTGTAAAAATGTAGTTTCCATTTGTACTTTTTGTAGTGTTCCACGTCCATTATTTTTAGTCAAATGTAGCCAGTTTGAAAAAATGTTGAATTTGAAACAGCCTTGCTGCAAAGATACACAGCGAGGAAGCGACCACTGACGTTTGACCTCTGTTTGGATCTGTTTTCTTATATGTGAGGGAAAAAAAAGTCATCCCTGTGAAAGTCAACATTTTCATGTTGTTTCCTGTATTTTAGACCATGCAACCCTTTTTATATTACAAGACCTTTTCCTGGGAAAAAAGTATCTTGATTTTGTATCTAAATGACACACATACCGCACCATTCTTTCTTATCCTGTAAATAAATAAAGTTTATGTCAACAGTAGCCTGCTCCATCATGTCATCAACACTCCCACTGAGGCCAAATAACATAACAACGAGTAATAATTTGTGGGTTACATATCAGTCCTGCTTTTTGCCTCTCAGACACCTCCCAGACTAACACGTAATATAAAAATTCTACATGGTATAAGGACATGATTTTACTTGTAAGCACCTGTGTAAATACAGATTTATTCAGTGAAATTATTTATCGATTGCAGGGGAAATTGACAACAAAAGACGACATAATCTGCTGTCCCTCAGGTTGTTGCAAAACCCACAAAATTAGAAACCAGGAGAAATGTGGGTGCACATGTTGAGGCTTTCATTTGTTTTGGCTGGCCTGCCTTGTATTATCTTGCTTTTTTTGTACGCAGTTCAGAGGGGGATTAGACAGTTCACAGAATGATGACATAATGAAAATGTCAGCCTGATTCAAACCCTGACACATGCCCAAGGCCATGCTGAGTCACCACAAATCAAGATGAATGTGCATGACTGAATTAAAGATGAAGTAAAAGGACACAGAACAGAGGCTTTTTCTTGATGTTTTTGAGTTGCAGCTAGCGACTACAATTACTAAGAGTTGCTGGAGGGTTGATGTTATTCATCGCTCCTCAACTGGTGGTTTGATCAAAGAGAAAAATGTATTGATTTCCTAACTTTGCTCCTTTTATTGCCATCATTTTCAAAATCTTTTTTTTTTCACAAAATAACAATTCAAAAGAATGAAACTTTGCAATATGGTCTGTAAATAGATTTATTCTGATCCTTCATTAAAATGTCAAGAGGCAAACATTTTCAGAGTTCTCTTTGTGCATTGTATTCCTCCTTCTCTTTCTCGCTTATGCACTAACTCTTCAGGTATGATCAGCTGATCCCTCCTCGTTGTGAACAGATTGAGAGTCATGTAATATTTATTATGAGGTGTTCTGCTGCCCCCTGGCCAGGTCACCTTTGTGAGAGATCTTGATCTCAATGGGTTAATTACCTAATTAAATAAAGGTAAAAAATCATCAGCATTAACACATGGTGCAGGGACTGTTTGCCTAAGAAAAAACATTTAATTCTCCCTTTAGATTGTTTTAGTGCTGTTTTGTGTACAGTCTTAAAAAGGGATCTCTCTCACTGTGGTGCAGAGTCGTTTCTTAAATGTGCTTTGCCTTGTTTTGATTGGTTTGAAAGTTAATTTTTGCTTAATTAGCCCATTATCCCTTTCCTTATTTTGGCATGCTTAATGTAATGGGAATGTTTTTTTAAGCGTTTTTTTTTCATTTGTAATTTGTCTCTTTTTTTGTAAATTCTATTAACAGCAATAAGCCTGTTGTGCTGTATCACTTTATGGCGTCATAAAACTTGTATTTTTAAGCAGCAAGACATTCGATTTACGTCATGTTTTGGGGGGTTTTACCACAGTTTATTTTCCAGAACTCTGTTTTTATTGTGACAGAGTTTTGATCAGTGTAAAATGTAGAATGGTCAGGGGAGGAATGCTTTGTGATGATCTAATCCCAGATTTGGTGTAGTCTGTAAGCTTGCACATTTGAGGCAAAGAGCATTTCACACTTTATCTCCAAACAGGATTACACAGTGTCATGCTTTAATCCAGCAGCATGGCTCTCTTTATTTCCTCAGCCAATTCAGAAACTCCAGAGTCATCCATCTGGCCCTCTTAATGCAAAGCTTTTAACCTTTGTGAGGTCCTGTATTAAATGAAATGCACAGCTGTTCACTTCATACACATACATGGCCTGAGCATCTACCATCATCACCATTACGTTTGACTTTTTAAAGATTCACATCAGGAGAATAGTGACATAACCAGTTTTCAATTAACAAATCATCCTTTTTGCTCCCTTGGTGTTTATGCTGAGAATACACAGCACAGTGTTTAATGAATGTGAACAGTGAGAGCTCCCAGGTGACCTGCTGCTGGCTGCTGTGGAGTGGTAATGAAAAGGGCGGATACTCTGGTGGAACTTGTCAGAGCTTCAGGTTCACCCATTCAGTGGAGAATCATGAGTGGAGAAGCTTGGTATGTGTTTTCATGGATAAAAAAAAAAGATTCAAACATGTTGACTCTTTGAACCTGGAGATGAGAGGCGAGCCCACATCTGCATGGGACTCTGGGAACAACACCATCTTGGAGAGTACACCGACATTGCCTTTGTTGCTGCAAACTGCCTGATCCTGTTGATCACATCTGTTGTCGGGGTCGCAGCAAATATTTTTGTCATTCTTGCAGTTTATCACCAAAAATCCCTGCAAACGTGGAACAACGCACTGGTGGTTAATCTGGCAGTGATAGACATTCTGAGATGCGCAATAGACTGCCCGCTTCTTCTAACCATTGTCATCACGGTGCATCAGAGAGGACGCGTGAACGAGCTGATCTGTGATGCTCAGGTGGCCTCTTTCTCCTTCAGCTGCTGCATCCAGCTGCTGACGCTGGCCTGTATCAGTGCAGAGAGATACCAGGCCATCGCACAGCCCTTCAAAATGAGCCAAAGAAGAAAGAGAATTATGGTTCTAATTCCTCTCACATGGACTTTGGCTATTCTGGTGGCTGGTTACTGTCTAACATTGATGAAGGACTCAGCTGTGCATCTGAGATGTAAAGGATTACCCAGAGGAACCGCCTCCTCCTCCTCCTATGACACCTTTGGACTTTACGTGTTGTTCCCACTTTGGGCAACTTGCTTTGCCGTTATCATTGGATTCTATGCACGCATTTTTTTCCTTCTCAGATCACATAACCGCAAAATTTTTGATAGTGGGACTTTTCGTGATGACCAAAAAAAACAAACAGAGAAGAAGCGGATTGAAGGAAAGACCACAACTGTTGGAATTGTTGTGCATGGAAATCCTGAGCTAAGCCAGAACCTTGGCAAAAGTGTCGCTGAGATTGAACTTGTGTCACAAGCTGAACCAAACCCATCAAGTAAAGAGGCAAGTGCTGCTTTTCTGGCCTCAACAAGAGCTTCTCAGAGCATCTCTGTCAGCCCAAAGAATAAGGAGGAATTAAAAAACACTCTTGAAAAAACTGACTTGGATACAGAACAACCTCGACCCTCTGACATGCAGGTAACAGCGCAGACTGAGGAGAAACCTTTTAAAATAGAGCGGCCAAACCCAATGGACACAAAAGCTGAAGCAAAACCTTCAAGAAGTGACGCTGTTACTGGTGTTAAGAGCTCAATGACAAAACCTCAGAAAGTGTCAAACAATTTGGAAACAGAAAAGCAGCCCAAAGAGCAAATGAAAATTGGCAAAGCGGCCCCTGAAATGAAAGAAACCTTGACAAACCTTTCTTCTCCTGTACAGATGGAAAATCCTAAATCCTCTTCCATTGTACCGCTTGAACAAAAACAACACAAAAAAAGCAACGGAGGAGAAACTCAGCCTGTGGTTACAGTAGATCAAGTGTCCTCATTACCTCCAGTCTCCATTAACGTCACTGAAACAGACGCTGCGAAACAAAACCTGGAGATGGAAGGTGCTGTTTGCATGATGCCGTCAAAAGCGAGAAAAGAGACAGCAAACAAAAAGAAGGAGAGTAAAATGGCGAAGCGTGCCGGTTACATAATCATAAGCTTCCTTTTATTCTGGCTGCCATTGATCACAACCATCCTGGTGAATCTCATTCACAAGCACAAGGACACACCGGTGAGTATTTGAGAAGGGAAGAATTCAACTTTTATTCTTCACATTTTTTCGTTTGAAAACTGATCAATCAAGTTTAGTTTGAAATAGGTGACTAACTGTGCTCTTATGCTGCATCAACAGGGCTTAAGACGAGCTTACAGCTTACAAAAACATTTTAAAGTCTCAGAAATGTCATGATTTTAGGATTTTTATAAAATGTTACCACCTTGAAGTTAGTTTGAGAGTCAAATGCTAATTACCTGTATTTTTGCAATACATAAATAGGTATAACAAATATACATAAAAAATGTATTTCTATTAACATCACAAAAATGTTTATAGTGTTTGGTAGTGAGTGTGTGTGTGTTGGTGCACAGCCATTTTATTTGTCTTTCTGATTTTGTACTTTATGGTAGTTTGTATTGTTTATTTATTTATCCTCTGTAAAGCAGATTTGCATTATGAAATGTGCTGTACACATAAAATTCAGTTGAACTACCTGCATATCAGGTGACCACGCAAGAGGCCCCAAACCCCAGGTTGAGAACCTTAATTCCATATATTTGAACACCAATACAAAGTCTACCTTCTGTTTAAAAAAACAAAAACGTGAATTTTCCTTTTATTTTTCCAGATTATAATCATCCAGCATGTGGAGATTCTGTCCGTGTCTGTTTCCTGCATCACATCGCTGAGTGACCCGATAATCTACGCTGCAGTGAACCCTCAGTTCCGCACAGAGTTCTACAG